GCTACTCTCACGTATCCATGCTCTTTTTCAGTCGACAAAGTTCCTCGGTATGATAAACTGCTCCAGCACCTTCGTATAAATTTTACGACCATTTACTGATGTTTTACTGTGAATTAATTCAACTATTATGAATATTTTCTTCGTATGACTTGCCACCTCTTCAATTTAGGCTGCGGGCACAGTGCTATGGCACCCTAACTGAATTTAATTAAAAAAGTGAGTGGCCTCTGGCCTTACTTGAACTATAGGCTAAAACTCTTACGTAGTTGTAACCTAGATTATGAAAGGGATGATTTTCATTTTCTCACTGCTTTTTGAGGACTAGTAATAAAAAACATATAATTAATCAAGAAATATTTCAGAATGATTGATTTCATTACTGACTTTTTTTTAGTCCAAAGGGGCTTTGTCCCTGAGGGACTATAGTTTTCATTTTGCAATTTCGCATCAAGTCATGCTGAATGTCCGTTTTACTTTTCAAGCTGTTGCTACCAAATATTATCACAATGAATTGTATTTGAAGAAATTAAATAATGAAGAATCTGCATAAATGTATGTATATTTCTCGCATTGTGATAAAACAACGGTACCCAGAACTATCACATTTTGAATGATGGAATCCTGCTGCGAATATGGGCATTTGGAAGCCCAAATTTGGAATTTGTTTTATTATCATTTTCATATTTTGTAAAACTTTTACGAATTTTTTATTAACAAACTCGGGGATTTAAAAGCAAACAATGACAACGTTATTTTTATCTTCTGTGTATGAATGAGACTCTGTATCGGAAATTCTTATGCTCAATTTAAATTTGTTTTGCGATATTGCTGTTGAACTGAATTTTATGGTTTAAGTACGAAGAACATGATACTTAATAACTAAAGGTAACACATAAAATGTTTTAAAAAATGCCCCTTCGGGCGTAATTTAAAATCAGAAACCTTTCAGATTTTCTTTTTTTTTAATCAAATCTTCTAATGCTAATTAATAGTAAATGTTTATGCGATGGTAATAATTTATAAAGTTATGGAATGGTAAATTTCAGTGTTAAGAAATTTTTGTTGAAGTCTGATTGTGACTGCCTACCCCCCCTCCCCCATAACATTACACTAGGTCCATTGGAATAAAATGCAATTAAATGGTTTTTAATGTACTTTTCAGAAAATCCATATGAATTTAAAGCTTTGCCTTACAGACCTTTATATATTCAGTGGTAGTTTTTTTTTTTTTTTAGCTCAAAACTTCTCTTTTGAGAACAAGGCACCCATAAATTAGAGATAAATTTAACAAAGGTCTCATACAAGCTCCTGTGAGCCTATTAATGTTGCCCACTGTTTATATGTGCTTTCTTAATTTTTTTCAGAAAATGTAACTTAAAATTAGCTAGAGGATCGGCAAAAGGAGCTGATAACATGTCTGTTAAAACTAATTGAAGATTTATGTGGTTTAGAATATACTGCTGTGCTATGAAAGTTATTTGTTTATTGCAAACGTTTCAAAATAGCTTCGGTTTTTTTCACCATTTCTTCTACTAAATTTTGATGCATCTGAATCAGTTATAATTTTTAGCCCAAAAGAGACATTAGCCCCGATTAGGATATTAGTGTCAAAACGACATTTTTCATTAAATGGCATATCACTTTTCAAATTGTTGCCACCAAATATTATCATCCTAATAATGAAGATTCTGCATTGCATGTGTGTATATTTCTTGTATTGCAAAAAAGGTACCTAGAACCATCAAATTTTGAATAACATAGTCCTGTGCCCGAATGTTGAATTTCAAATTTGCGTTATTAGTATCATATTTTGTAAAACTTTAATGAATTTTTTATAATTAAACTCAACAACTTCAAAGCTAGGAGTAGCATACTGTACAGGAAAAAAAAAAAAAAAAAAAAAAAAACCTTTTTATGTCTAGCACACAAGACTGTCTTTTGTAAATTCTAAAAATATGTTGTTTTTAAATATTTTGTGATTTTTCTGTTGAATTGAATTTTATGTAGCTAAAGTGCCAAGAACGTGACATTTAATAAATAAACACACTTCTATGCTGCTTTTAAAATTTTTGTAAATTTGCTGTTGAATTGTATGGCATAACTGTGAAGAAAATGATGCTTAGTAATAAAGACCAAAAAAAAAAAAAAAAAAGGATTAGTAGGAGTGAGTGCAATAGTAGAAGCTCATCTGAGCTCAGCGAGAAAGTAAAAAATCTTAACATAACCATTTGGGCGGCCGTTAAAATCTGAAACTTTTAGATTTTTTTAAATTAATATTCTTTATAAATTTAAAAGCATGCTTTTATTATTAGCTGAAAAGGGACATCACTCTTGAATGGGATATCAGTCTCAAAACAACATTTTGTGTCGAAACACTTAAATGCATTGTATCACTTTTCAAGTAGTTGCCACCAAATATTATCAACCTGTATTATATTTAAAGAAATTGAATAATGAATAATATGAATGTATATATGTTTTTTACATTGTGAAAAAACAGCAGTACATAGGGCCATCAAATTTTGAATAACATAGTCCTCTTCCTGAACATATGCCTGAATTTTGAATTTCAAATTTAATTTATTATCTATTTAATATTTTGTAAAACTTTAATGAATTTTTTATCAACAAACTAAACAATTTCAAAACGAGCAGTGGCAATACTATATGTAATAAAACGTTTTTTATCTCCAGCCTGTGACATTGTCTTTTGGAAATTCTGAAAGTATGCTGTTTTTAAATATTTTGTGATTTTACTGTTGAAGGGAAGTTTATGTGATATAAGTGCCAAGAAAATAGTATTTAATAAGTAAAATAAACACACGAAATGTTAATAATATAAAGACAGAAAAAAAAAAAAAAAGCTTGGTAAAGCCATCTTAGTAAGAAAACTAAACCTTGATGTGATAAACTGTGAAAAGACTGAAAAAACAGAAAAATGTATGCTAACATTTAATGCTGCATCACGAATTCTAAATGCTGCTGTTAAAATTTTTGTAATTTTGCTGTTGAATTGTATATGGCATAAGTGCGAAGAAAATGATGCTTAATAATAAAGCTAAAAGACAAAAAAAAAAAAATAAAAAATAAAAAAAAAAATAGATTAGTAGGAGTGAGTGTAACAGCAGAGTGGTAGTCTGTGAACTCAGCAAGAGCGTAAAAAACCTTAACAAACCCTCCTGAGCGACATTAAAATCTAAAACCTTTCAGGTTTTCTTTTTCTTTTCTTCTTCCCTTCCCCCAACTGTTGACTGGACAGATCACATGCTATTTTACTTCAAGCCACTATGTACAGCCTGCAGAAATCTTATCTACTACCTAGCCAACTACAACCCAAAGGCAGGGTAATCGTGTTTTTCTTTCTGTGTATTAGAATTACAATAATAGTTTGCAGATGCAGTTTCGCATACATTATGTGGACCTGGATTCTATTGACACTGGAGTTTTGCAAATCTTGAAAGCAGAATTTTACGGCTATTTACAGTGATGCTTTGTAGTTCCGGAAGCCAAAATTTGAAGCTGTGTCTTTACATATGAATTTTGAACAGAACTCAGAAGTGGCATTAGGTGTTACAGTTATTAAAATGCATTTTACTGTTATTACAGAATTTGTATTTTCAGTGTTAAATGTTTATAGTCTTTTCAGTCTTGACAGGTGTTACAACTCATCAGAGTTATCATTTATATGACAAGTGACTTTTCTGACTGCAGATGGAGTTAATGTTCTTTGCACCAGTTTCCCAGTGATTGAAGAGCCTTGTTGATGTTTCCATGTAATTATTTCCTTGATTTCCCACTTGAAATAATCAAGAAGTCATCAGCAAAAACTTAGTCTTTTACATCTTGAAAGATGTGTTTGATTAGTCTCAATGCATTTGTTAAATGTATTGAGATGTGTTTGATTAGTCTCATGGTTACAACATTTCAGAGGATTGGACCCAAACAGCTGCCTTGTAGACACCTTTGGCTATTGATTTCCTGTAAGTGCTTGCATCTGCAGATATCTTTACAGAGTAATTATCCAGGTAACTTATGAGTATCTGAATGATGTTTTTATATATACTTGTATGTTCCAACAAAACGGTGATGTCAGGCTTCCAGGTCCTCTTTTAAATAAAATCGTTGTTTAAAGATCGTCATGATTTTAATAATTTCATTGATTTTACTTCTTCTTCCTTACATTTTTTGCTAATCAACCCATTTACATTGCCAGACATTTCCTTTATTATTGTTTTTTTAATTATTAGCTACATTTAACAAAAAGTGTTATTATTATTAATTTATATATGTAAACAGCATACTGTGTTGCATAGATTTGGCTTCTTTTATGGAAATGGAGATTTGAATGGATCTCAGTTTGAAACTGGAGATAGTGATGTTCCTTTTTGTGCACAAAATAATACATTTTCACAAAAAATTTTAACATATTCATCTTGTAACATTTTATATGAATGCAGATTGTGAATTTTAAATTAATACTTATTTTAAGAAGGAGAATTTGCTGACAAATTTCTATATGTGTAATTTAATGAAATAGTTAACTGGTTGAATTGTTCATTGAAAAGTAATCATGTGAAAAAAATTTTGCCTTGATTTAGGTGTTTAGTTAATTTTTTTTTTTTTTCAAAATGTTTTAATGTTTATATTAGAATAAGGAATTAAAAGGATTTTATGTAATTAATAGTTCAGAAATTTAATGCTCAAATTTTAAATTTTTAAAAATTGTGAGATAGTCATTTTCTTTTTTGTAAGTGAACTATTATATATGACACAACAAAATTATATCAATTTAAGCAAATATGAAAAAAAAGGGGGGCTTTAAAAGTTAAATATTTTCAAGGAAATGTTCAAATTCAAAATACACAATGGAGCAAAGTTCTGAACAACTATTATTTTGAAAATAAATCTCACTATTTTGGTATTATTTACTGCTGAAATTCCTTTTATTATTGTAAAAATCCATTTATATTTTAATAAATTTTTATGTTTTAAAATTTTAGGTATGCTGCTCGCTTAGTAGCTGGAGCTTTAGATTTTAAAAAGCTTGTAGACAGGTAAGAAATACATCCTTTTCACAAATTTTAAGCCACTATTTTAAAAATGAAAATTCACAATTGTAATAAATTCCTATATTTTTCAATATTTAACTTTTTATACGAGATGTTGTTCAGGTTTGTCAAGTCAGTAATTACACTGGTCAATGCACAAACTGATTCTTAAAAATTATATGTATTTTCATGCATATTCATGATAATGATTTCAAAACTGGGAACAATTTTGCCCTTTCAGTTACAGTTTTAGCAATATAGCATAGTCAGTTCATATGCTGAATAAACTGAAAATAAGGGTTGGAGGGGAAGTTCTGTCTGGAGGGAAATTTCTGTCCTATTTTAAATAGGCAGGTGATTTTTCTTGTAAAAAAAAAAAAAAAAAAAAAAATCACCCTAGTGAGTCATTTGGATCCCCCCCCCTCATCTGTTGTATAATATAAAAGGAGTCCTTTTTTACAGTTCATCATTTACTTGTAACATTTAAAGTGAAAAACATGTCAGTAAATAAAGTGCATTTTGTATGAATTCTAAAAAGGGAGCAACACATTGGTTGCATGTAAAAATTTATGCGCGGTATTTGGAAAAGATATTGTAAATGTTCATACTTGTCAAAGATGGTTTAGCAAATTTTGTTCCGGGGATCTGAGCCTCCAAGAAAGTGATCGATCTGGACGACCATTCAAGATCGATAATGATGTTTTGCAATCCATGTTGGAAAGTAATCCACGTTTAACAAGTCGAGAAATTGCAGAAGAGTTTGGCGTTCATCATACAACTGTTGGAGATCACATTAAATCTCTTGGGTTTGTGTTAAAGCAAAGTGTTTGGGTTCCACATGAATTAACGGAAAAGAATTTGTCTGATCTTCTAAGAATATGTTCATCACATCTGATTAGACACAATGTGGAGCCGTTTTTAGAAAGGCTGGTTACTGGAGATGAAAAGTGGATTCTTTATGAGAATATTAAGAGAAAAAAATCTTACTGGGAACCAGGAACATCATCAGCAACAGTTCCAAAGCCAAGTATCCATCGACGAAAAGTACTGCTTTGTTTGTGGTGGGACAGGAAACGTCCAGTGTACTACGAGTTGCTGAAACAGGGAAAAACTATTAATGTGGATCTGTACTGCAATCAGCTGGATAAATTAAATGCAGCTATCAAAGAAAAAAGGCCAGCATTAGCATCCAGAAAAGGAATGCTCGACCGCATACTGCAATGATGACACAACAAAAACTTGAATGCATTAGGATGGGAAGTCCTTAGTCACTCACCGTATTCACCTGACATTGCACCATCTGATTATTACCTGTTCATATATCTACAAAATTATCTAATGGGAAAAAAACTCAAGTCTTTTGAAAGTGTTTCTAAGACAGTTGCTGACTATTTTAACTCCAGTGACGAGAACTTCTACAAAACAGGAATTTACAGGTTACCTGAAAGATGGCAACAGGTTGTAACAAATAACAGAGCATATATAATTGAATAATATTAAACACATATTTTTATAAATGAATTCAAATATTTTCTTTAAAATACGACAGAGCTTTCCCTCCAACTCAATATATACATAGAATATTAGTAATGGTATTATGTAATGTGGGTGGAGTTGAAGATGATATCCTCAAATAAATAAGACTTCCACACCACAAAACATTTAATGAATTATAATTGATAGTAGAATAGCTACAGATTAAAATAACAGTACAATTGAGCGTTCTCGTACTTGTTACCACAGCTTGGTGATATTGACTGTTTTTGGCCTCGAAAACATGGATCACGGACACTTGTTCATATGATTTCTAGCTGCAATGCTTCGGGTACCAAAAGTAACTCGCAACCACTGTCAAACTTGTATAATACACCATTCTTCACTAAGAAATCTTTCTTTAGTCCTTGCTCGACTGAGGATTTTAACAAATGGAAATACTCGTCACTTCTTTGCGCAACTGTAATTTTGGCTGTAACTTCTCCCTGAGAATAGGTAACCATCATGATAGCGTTTCTACTTTATGAATCCACAAGCTTCATTTGCTGCCCAGATGTGTGAACAATTTCATAGTCAAATTCTTCTAGACGTAACGCCCATCTCGCCACTTTAGGGGTTAAATCTTTCTTGAACATAGTCTGCTATGATTATTTTCAAGTCTTGTTTTCTGATATTATTTAATACACTCATGATTATTATAGTAAATTCGTATCAAATACTACTTTACCTTGCTTGTTTCTTGGTCGGAGCCCCCAGATTTTGTGGGTGGGGAGTTGAAATGATATCCTTAACTAAATAACACTTCCACACCACAAAACATTTAATGAATTATAATTTATAATAGTATAGCCACAGATTTGAATTAAAATAAGAGTACCATTGCGTGTTCTTGCGCTTGTTAGATACAAATACAGTTCTGCATGACTTTTAAGTATTTAAAATAGCTACACAGCGCCTACTCGCACTTGCTATTTCAACAGGGTTCTTTTGTTACCACCTTCACGGGGAATCAATATCTATCTAACTTTTACTCTCACTGTGGGCGCATACGTGATGCCCTCTGATGGCTGTTACCACATTAATATATTAAAATAACTATAATTGGGTAGTGTTCCATTAATACTGCCCCAACTGTAATCAAGTTTAAATGGTACCACTATTCCAAAATGGAATATTGAAACGAACAAAAGATTTTTCATAAACTATTATTTTATTACGTCCATACTAATTATTCAAAATAAAAGACAACTATGAAGAAAAGAAGAAAGAAAATAATTGAATAATAAAGAAATAAAAGATTGATTTAAAAAGCAGATATGAAATTATGAATAACTTTTAAGTATAGCTAAAATATTTTCATTTTAGGATGCAAAAATTACTGCATAAACTCAGTCATATATGCGTATAAATGGAGGTAGGTAGTTCTATGCTGATATTTATTATGCCATTCTGCATTGCCTTACAGCTGCTATATTGTTTAGGTGTAAATCCAGTGTCAAGGTCAGTAACAGTATAAGTGTGATTTATAATGAAGTTTTCAAAGCATTTTGTAATCAATTAGTTTTTCTACACCCTCTAACCACCCAGAAAAAATTACACTTCTATCTGCAATGTTTGCTTTTATCATGGGTTTTAAGATTTTTGTTGAATGATTGGGAAAGACAAGAATTGTTGTCCTCAGTCTAAGCCACTGAAAAGGAAGAACATGGCCACCACATTTGTTTTTTCATCAGGTGAAGAAAACCTTTATCTATTTCAATAGTTTTATTTGCACTCCCAATATTTTTTTTTTTTTTCTCATAATAACAAACCATTGGCACAAATTTCTCTCATATAATTATTCCAGTCCACACTCATAGTATGGTTCGTTTGAAACTGGATTTGGCAAAATTGCAAAATTCAACTGGTGTCAACTGTTGACACTGTGAGTATATAAATCATAAAGAAAAAGGATACACCATCTATCGGACTGTGTTTATATTTACAATTGTTTGTTTTATCGGTATAGTTAGTATCCCGTTTCAGTACTGAATTAAAACTGGGATAGAACTTCATAGGATGATTATTGGAACAAAGTCTTTCTTTGTGAATAATTCCATTATCTTGGAGCAATCTGAGGAAGACTCTTTCATCATTAGATAATTCCTAAATTATAAAGTTTGTCCTAACCTTTGCATTAAGAAAATAATAATAATAAGCTAACAATCAAAAAATGTTATTGAATGTAAATGTGCTGAAACAATTTTTCACATATGCTGTTGAAAACGTGAATAAAAAAATTCTTTAAGTGTTGCCAATTTAAGTGAGTTGTAGGTGAGATTTAGCAGGTCTTTGTCTGGGGTCCTATGAATGGAGTTGTGCCCATACTTTAATTCCATTAAAATTTAATGTAATAATATAATTAAGTTAATAAAACTTTAAATATTAATACGTTTAATCAAGCTTAGAAGCATTTAAAATCAGTGGGTTAGTTACAGCATATTGTTCTTGCCGAAGATAGCTCGAACTTATTTAATGATACTTAACTTCAGTAAGTGGACTGTAATATTAACAATAACAAATTTATTTTAACAAAAACAACTTTATTGAATACTAGCACACGCATGTGCTTATAGTTACCTATGTAACTTAGCTAAGAGCGAGCAACCATATGCTCTTACATCAAGTCAGAAATCATTCATATTTAATAAAGCAAAAACAAAATAACTTTAGGGTTACACTAAAGCCAAACTCTGCTTGGCGTAAAACAATGCTGCCAAGCAATACTCTTTCAGACACCGAACACATATTATTCCAATTATTTTTTTTTAAATTTATTTAAACTCCTATAAATTTACTGCAATATCAAGTTTAGTCTTGCATGAGATTAATCAGTCATTAACATTCATGACAAGCTTCATTTATGACCTATCCTAGAATGCAATAAACTATAACAGTCTTACTAAGGTTTTTTTTTAAAAGCAATGAAAGTTGATATGTTGGTAATAAACTTTATCACAGCAAGTGAAAATTTGGAAATTGGAAAATTATTATTTATTGAAAGTTGTGCCCCAACTTGTGTTTGTAAAGAATAGGTTTACAAATAAAATAAACAAGAACCAGACATGTGACTTGTAAAATAAAATTATATTTATTGGATTTATGAAACATGAACTTCTTACAAGTTATCTCATCTGATGACTATTAAAAGTTCTCTTTGTTAGCTTTCCATGTTGAAGGCAGAGCACTTAACCTGATCAATAATTACAAGGTAACTGTCACATTCTTGCCACTAGGTGGCGGGCATCTCTTCCTTTACTTTTGCTGTAATTAAGTTCCGAGACCAGTGGAGATTGGAACTGCTCTGAGGAGCGTAAAGACTCAGAATTAAAATGTACTGTCTTAAAATAATTATCACCTACCTTGTAAATAGTGTATATTAGCTTTTTATTTCAATAAATAATTAAAAGACAAGATGGCTTGTTAGCAGTAATAGAAACTCTTACTGAAAACGTGATTATTAGAAGCCTGGCGTCGTGAACACTGAAGATGCAGCAGGTAAGGAAATTTTACATTTTATTGTAAATAGAAGAACCTGATGCAACAGTAACCTTCTTTATTCTTTATTTTATACCACGAACATGGCCACCACGTTTGTTTTTTCATCAGGTGAAAAAAACCTTTATCTATTTCAATAGTTTTATTTGCACTCCCAATATATATATATAATATATAATAATATGTTGTATGAACTTAAATCCATTTAGGCGAATACAAGTTATATTACTTGCGCAATTGCTGCAAAGTTAGTTAATAATAATTTATTTCCTAAACCGTATTGATTAATTGATTATATTATCTCCTAAGTTTAATTAAAGTAGAATTATTTTAAAAGTGTGCATCCATACTGGTAAGTTATATTTTGAAAGATGTTTTGAAGTAATTTGAAAGCAAAATGTTAATAATGTTTTAACGGGGACTGGAGTTAAATCATCACGAAGAATAATATTACAATTGTAAAAGTAAAAATTAAAACATGTAATTATTGTCATTGATCGGAAATTAGTTGACTTTTCAAGGGGAACAAACCAACTCCCGTTCAATGATCAATAATTGATAAAAATACGTAAATATGAAAGTGTTTCGTCTTTACTCGAGTTATAAATTAAAGCCAAACCGGCAATTCTAGTCAGGCCAAATATTTCCGCGAATAGTGTTACTCAAAGAACTGATTCTCATGAAGCATTTTAGTCAATTCAATTTGGAGTAAAAATCAATTACTGTAGAGAAATCTTGTAAAACTCGAGTAATCGTCCCCGACACTATCATCTTTATGTATTTGAGTACTATATATTTGTAGAAATTAAACATTGGAAATTGTCATTATGAAATCGAATCAAAGTAAAGTTGAAATAAACATAGAAGATATATAAAAAAGATAAATAATGCAAACTTTGCAAAAACAAATCAAAGAGAACATAAAAATAATATAAAATAAAAATAGAAAAATTAATATAAATAAGATCAGTGAATGTACATGAAGATATAAAGGCCAGAAAGGTATTAAGTAACTTACATTCTTTCTAGTGGGGGAGTTGGCAGTGTGTTCTCTTCGTGTCTGACTCAGAAGTGTAGGGTGTCCGAAAATTCTTAGCGGCAGTAGGGGCTTTGAATATATCAGTCGGTAAGACTTGGGTGAAGAAAATTTATGGTAGTGGGTGGGACTTGGAATTCTTGAGGGATGTATTTGTGGAGTTCTTATCTGAGAGAGACCGTCTGTTAAGATTTTTTTTGAAAAATACTAGTGAATGGAAATTAATTAATTTCTGGCTAATTGTCGTGTCGCAATGATTAAGAATTTAAGAAAGGAAAAAGGCATTTTCGCTATCCAAGAGCTAGTAGACAGTCTAAAGGCAGGAAATAGGCCCATTTTTTAGTAACAGTATAGTAACAGTATAGTCTGAAGACAATTAGCTTTTTACAATATATACAATTGAGTAATTACACTATATACAAATCTTTCAACTGACAGTCATCCAACTTATACCGCCTTCTCAGGTTTAGGAATAAATTATCATATCCCTATCAGTTAAATGATTTAGAGTGAGTATTTAACGCCTGCTCTTTTAAGGCAATGGTTGATAAATTGAAAGGGAATTAGATTATTTTTGAGAATTTTGATAAGGATCAAAATTTCGCGTTGTAATCTATTGTATCTGTGCATATAGTTTTAATTCGTTGTATTTGATTAATTATATTATATATATAATATATTATATTTTTACTAATGATAACAAACCATTGGCACAAATTTCTCTCATATAATTATTCCAGTCCACACTCATATTATGGTTCGTTTGAAGCTGGATTTGGCAAAATTGCAAAATTCAACTGGTGTCAACTGTTGACACTGTGAGTATATAAATCATAAAGAAAAGGGATACACCATCTATCGGACTGTGTTTATATTTACAATTGTTCTATATTCTTCTTTATTTTATTTATATATTAAGTTATGACAGACTGCCAATCCTAATTTTATATGTAATGATGGTAAAATGATTTCATCTCTGTCAAAAAAAAAAAGTGTCTTAAATGCATTTTATTTAACTGCAAACTGTCATTTTTTCCCCAAAAAAGCTAAGCTTTACAAACTATTTGTTGCTGTATTATTCCTAAGGAGTATGGATATTTCATATATACAGTCTGATGACAAGGAGAAGTCTACATAAATCACATATTGATGATTGCATGAAATCATTGGTAATTTTTGCTCTGCTTTCTCAAAATTATAAGAAGCATGTATATTTTGTTTATCCATTTCATTCAACAAGGAGAAAATCCCATCATTTTTATGTCTACAGTCAAAAGTCGTTCATCCGGACTCGTCGGGACTTCGCGATTCCGGATTATTGATTTTTCCGGATTATAGATCATCAGTTTATTAAATCTGGTAAGATGGCATGCAGAAATTACAAAATTCAAAATATGAAACCGTAATTTATGAAATAAAGAACAATTATGATCTAAAGGGTATCAAAATTTACAAAAAGAAAAAGCTTAATATTTATTTACTTTATTAAACATTTCTTTCAATGTAAGTTGCTTCGTTTCATGTGATAATACTTTCTCTTTAATTCTATTAAACAGACATAATTTCTTGTTTAGTTACAAAGTTCCGCTGTTCAAGTCCTATAATTGTTGTGTTGAGAATACCGACTAATTTGTCAATCGAAATGTTTTCGTTTTCAATAACCTCTGGGTCACTTTCTTCACTATCAGAAGCGAATTATAATGACATAATGACAAGGAACTTGATTTAAATCATATCAAAGACCGAGTACATCGAGATGAAATACTACACTTAGTAAGGAATTATAAGCCAAATAAAATAAAAACATCTGCCCTGAAGATAAGGATAGTGCTGACAGATCAACTTCCAATCTGCAGCGTGAAATTGATAAACAGATTTCGGATTTCAAAACACTTTCGCTTTCGCTTTGTAGATACAAATTACATAACAGTAAATATATATCAGAAATTCTATTGGACATAATCGAAAGTTCAAGCTTACTTTTATGAAATTGCTCTAACAGTCTGCAAAAAATAATATCCCGGATCCAATTCGAAGATTAAGGAACAACGCAATCTGCAACATTAACTGAATTAAATAATTTTAGCTTAGCTTATACCGTCCGTTACATATTAAACGATCATGCGCACAAACATATTCGCAGCCATAAAGGTCTTACGTGCAATTGTAAACGCCTGTGCATGCATGCGCAGAAAGTTTGTAGCTTTGAGGTCCAGATTATAGATCATTCCGGATTATGGGTGTCCGAATTAACGACTTTTGACTGTATAAAGTTTACCCATTGATGAATTGGATACTTCATTCGTTTTTTTCTTTTCTTTTTTTTTTTTTTTCCCCTCTCCCAGGATGAAATTAAATTGTGTCATACATTCATACTGGCTGACTTTTTGAGTAAGCCTAATTTGCTTTGTGGGGGGGGGCATTTAAAACTCTGTTTGGAGCTTAACGATTTCAGGTTGCCTACACTTATAAGCATCTTATACTGGTGTACCAGATTTCCAAAGCTAATACCAAAACATTGTTTCATCTGTTCAGTTTTGTAACTTTACTTTTAATTGTTACTATATATTAAACAAACAAGTAATAAAACTTAATAATTTCATTAAACTGCTAAATGAAGAAACACATTTATGTGTATTTTGTGCATGGAATTAATATTTTCACAGTGATCTAAAATTGCAGTTTAATTAATATTGATTTAAATATTAACATTTAATAATAATATTTTTATATTTTAGTTATTCATTGCCTCTTGATATGATGGGTGGCCAACCTCTTGATATGTCTCAATACTATAAAATTTTTTCCACCTGCCGAATACCTGGTTACCCAAAAGACAGTTTGGCTTTATATGGAATGGATGCTGAGAAACCTAGACATATAGTGGTGGCTCATAATAATCATGTAAATATTACGTTTTAATAATATTTTTAATTTCATTGTAATGTGTATACTTTTCATAATAGCATTTTTAAATGTTTGTTACATGTTAATTAGATGTCTGAAATTTTATATTTGCAGTAAATATATTATGACTGTTATTTTCAAGCTACGAACACTGAGACTACCGAAATATTTCTGTTAATTATCCCTATGTTTGCTTTGAATAAGTATGCAGTTCAAATATAAATATTATCAACATATTATGAGTATTTTTGAATAAATATTCTGAAAGAATTTTATTTTATAATTTTTTAATATTTTCTTTCTTTTGTTATTTTTGAATCAATGATCAATTGATCTCTACTATTATTTAATAATGAAAATTCTTGTATATGTATGTTTGCATGTTCCTTGCATTGTAGAAATACATCAGCACATGTGGTCACCAAATTTTGAATATAATAATCCTCCACCTGAGAGGTTCGAATCCCACGAACGGGCCGGCTGCATGGGTGTTTTCGTGGTTTTCCCCATGTATAACTTGTATACGAGCCAGTTTTTCTTAGAAAGTCTTTCACGATGGCATCCCTCCCCTTAGGCAAATAGCCCTTGTGTGCTTTGCCATAATTAAATACACCACACCACCTCCACCTGAACATGTGCACCATGAAGCCTGAATTTTGAATTTATTTTTCATTTATTTTTTATATTTGAATATGAGAATTTTGTGTTGCCACTCAGCAAAAAGATATTTCTGTTCCAAATTTAATTTGAAAACTCAGTGATATAACAGATGTATGCTGCCTCTTGATGATTATTTTTCTTTCAAGTTTGATAAAAAAATGCTGAACTTTAAAAAAGCATGTGTTGTGACTGTTCAACATAAAATATTTTTATTTTCCATGGGCTAGTTTTTTACCATTTGATGAAGTGTAAGATATTTCATTTTTCTTTCAAATTTTTTGTTATTTACTAATAAACTAAGCAAATTAAAAGTGGTAAGCATAGATTCATTTTAGTTATTGCTAATTACTAACTGAACCCATGAAATTCCATTACTAGATTATTTAAAATCATATAGTGTTTTTTTTCGTCCTTTTATAATAACTATTTTAGGTGTCTGGCCATGCCAGCAGCTAATGTTGTTATAATTCTTCCTTCCCGATTTTAAGGATTATACATTTGAAACTCGGTTACTTTTCACTGTGTTTTGAAATACCAGCTGAATATATTTTTCTGCCCTTTTTAATTATGGACTTGTAAAAGAAGGTGATTAAAATTAATGTCAAAATTTAAAATACGGTAAAAATACTTCTTATAGCATTTAAAAACGGAGCTTAAGAAATTTTACTTTGCTTTGAACTTTCTATTAAACCAGTTATCTTCAAACGTGGTGACTGAGGGAACTTACAAAACCCTAAACTTACAAACCCTTATTAATTACTTTTTAAATGGAGACCCTGTATGAACACTGATTAATCTTTATATGCAATCAAGAAATGAAAATCAATATTTTATCCCAATTTTACTTACAAAAGCAGATTTATTTAATACAATTTTAGGTAATAACAATAGTAGAAATAAGAAGATTCTAATTAGTTAATTATTTTTTATATTTAATTTTACTGTCTACATGGTATTAAAAATTCTTTCAAATTGTTATTTTTATTTGTGGAATCCCTGCATGAGTTTCATAGATCCCCAGACTTTAACAGAATATAGATTGAACATTATTATGCTAAACCATTTGATGAAACAAAGAGCTTTTCTTGCATACAACCACTGAAAGTTTTATTTAAGTCTGATGCATAAGAGAGAAAACAATAAGTAAAAATGATTCTACTTTCAATGTTAAAATCTTGCTGATACATGAAGTAAAAAATAATAATTCAGTGTTTCACGTTTTAGGTGCTAAATATTATTTCAAATAATGTATAGATTTTTTTTTATACTTTAGTTCTTTTTGTTGTATTTATTTGCATGTTCGAGATCAATATTTTATGGAATATAGTTTGTAGGCATTGTTTTCAAATACACTGTATGTATATATAACACCTGTTATAGATGTTTAACTGAGATTTGAAGAGTAAATATAATTAAAGGAATAAATAATCCTTTTTTCTTAGTATTTTAGTGTCGATGTCTATGGTGATGATGGTGCCCCTCTGAATGAAAGTCAATTGTTAGGGCAATTCTTGGAAATAGTCAAACAGTCTCAGTATCAGAAAAGTCCAATTGGTGTGTTGACAACGCTTCATAGAGATGCCTGGGCTAAGGCTTACAAAAGGTTACGTAAATGTAAGTATTTTTTTATGAAAATATGCAGTGTTTCTCTTTTCATTTGAATCCATCGCCATTTGGCATAATCTAAGGTAGTTATCTTTTTAATTTAGTCTATCTAGTATTGATTAACAAATTAAGCTATTCAAAAGTAATAGATGCAGTTCTTGAGAATATTATTTTTTTACTTTTTAATCTGACCGATTTAAATAAAAATGGATTTAATTCATGATTATTTCCTTTTTATCTCCAGCATGTGGAAATGTGTATCAGAAATTGTAAAGATATGCTCATTTAAAAATTATTTTGCAATATTGCTGTTGAATTGAATTTTATGGTTTAAGTGGGAAGAACATGATATTTAATAAATAAAGGTAACACACACAAAACATTAAAAAAATGCCCCTTTGGACGTAATTTAAAATCTGAAACCTTTTTCTTTTTTTTGGTTGTTGTTGTTTGTGTATGCTTGTATATATAAAATTTCAACTAGTGTAGCTATTTTATCTGTTAAAAATTTATAAGTGTTTTACTCGTGTTTGAAAATTAAGGTGAGAAAGTAGAAAGCAGTAATTTGTGACTGTCATTATTCTTTTCCAATAGCTTAGCTCTTGTACCTACAACATGTGTAGTGTAAAATGTATGATGCCATTTGCTGCTTTTTTAAATCATTTCAGATTTTGTTAAATGTTCATTAAAGACTGTTCTTAATCTCTTAATAAACTAATTATGAATGTATTGCATTTTTTGACAATTTACATATTTCTTTAAGTGCAAAAAAAATCATCTTGTCAAAATTAATGACAAAAGTTTAATACCATGCTCTTAGAGTAAAACTAACACACTGAATGTAGAGCCATTCACTGTATGAAATTTCTCTTCTTTGTATCTATAGAGGGTGTTCACATTTTCAGAATGATTTCAATAAGGAGTCTTATTGATATAACATTAACAAAAAAAAAAAGTTTTGGAATAAAAATTTCTGGCAACAGCTTATTGTTTGAAATGGGGAGTATCATATAGCGTCACTGACTGCTGTGCCAGAGGAGCCCGCATTTGAACCCCAGAGAAGGCGTGGATGTTTGTAAATGTATAGTGTCAGTGCAGCATTGCAAAGTCCTCATATGTCCTAAGGATTATACCTATGACTTATGGATTATAGTGCCTTTGGTGTCTTGAAAGAGCTCTTTTTAAGCATTAACCCACAGTGATTGATGGATTTGGAAAAGTAGTGGAAGAGAAATGGAAATCACTATCCCTAGAAATTTTAATGAATGTAAGTCTAATTTGAAGTCATTCTATCATGGAAATCATGATGCAGACTTATAATCCAGAAAACGACTATCAGATCAAGTATTTAAAAAAAAATATGCTTTCCATTTTAAACATTAATTAAATAGCCTCAAATTTGTTCTAAGATTGTGTAAACACAAAACCTTTCTTTTAATTTCAGATTTCTACTATTTTCAGTTGAAATCAGTGTTTAAAAAATTGCATAAGAATAAATCTTCATATTGAGCATTACACATACCATATTTTCTGGTGCAATCTTAAATGTGTATATTCAGCTCTTTACCTACTCCAGATTTGCTTTCAGTTACTGTTCTCTTCTAAACTAAAACTGCCTTAATAAGTTTTTCTGACATTTATGTAATCTAAAAATTTGTGGTATCAGTTGTTAAATCTATTTCAAAAACAGACCCCCTTTTTCCTTTATTTCCTTTTTCCTTGATGCCCAAAATACCAGTTTCTTTTATTTGATAATTAAGTAATTACATTTATAAATAAATTCATAATAAATTGTACACTTGCTTTAAAAACATGCTTCCCAGCAGTATGCAAGGATGTTTCTGGCAGAGTTCTTCACAAATAAATGATTAAAAAAATTCAAATATCATGAAGCATGAAAGTCATATTTATCATATGATGTATTCAGAAACATGTCTAGTAAAGCATAACTTGGTTGCAGTACAAAGTAATGCGTAGAAAAAATTGCAACTAAGATTTGCTCAAGCCTAGCATTTTAGAGTGATGATACTATGCCCAATACATTCTGAAGCAAAACAGTTAGGAAGTTAATACAGGAGTTTCATAATTGGAGCAGATTATATGAGCGTAAATATTAAAGTTTTTTATTTATTTTAATTTGGGGGCTGTCTTATTATTTGGCTGTGTTCCTATATATTTTGATATTAAGTTTAAAGAAGTAAATAAATGAGCAATCTTACATTTTTAATTAAAAAATCTGATGTGTACACCACATGACAGGAAAATTTAAATTAAAAATTATACGCATTTATTTTAAATTATACGCATTTTTTCTTGCATTTCGTTTAAACTTATTGGATTGAATTAAATCTACTTTGCCAACAGCGCATAAACCACAATAGAATAAATGTATTCTTTAAAATTCACTCTATTTGTTTACCATAGCGACACTCTGGTGCTAGGTTCACTTAACAGTATTATATTTCGTTCATATTATGACTCAGAATGCACAAAATTTATATCATTTAAAGAATTATCTAATCGTTGCCACATGTTCTATTCAAATGCTATAATAAAGCTAGAATGATGTATAAAAGAAATTAAGCAAACAAAACAAAAATGAAACAGTTTTTCACAGACGATTGAGTATTTCACATTCAATTAATTCAGTTCTCACTTCGCGACAAGGCAAAAATACATAAAAACTCAAAATATCTGTATTAAAAATTACTAAGTAAATCTTAAACACTTATTTTCTCGAAAAATTTCCAGGAAGGATTAAGCATGATTTAATTCGCAGTAATAAATGAAGGCGTTATTTTTGTTGTTGCAAAGCTATGTTTCTCTACATTGGCAACAAATCCACTACTCTGCTGTTTCAAATGTAAACAAGCAATGGCAGCCATCAAAAAAAATTATTAGGCTTAGTGGCACTTAAACAACTTTAAAACTGTTGATAATTTTAAAAATATTGCATACAGATTTACTAAAGGCATAAAAACCTTAATCGGAAGATAAGAACAACATAATTCAACCATTTTTAAAGCAAAAAATATACAATTTACAAACATATAAGAGTAAAGAAACTGAGATCACTGAGCCGGGTAACAGAGTGGATATATATATAAATATATTTATATATGTTTGGCACAGCGGATTGCAACCAAAATACAAGGTGCACATCTACATCTTATTCTAGTCCTATATACAAAATTTCAACGCTCTGAGGCTGCTAGTTTTTGAGTTATGCGAGATATGTACATACTTACATACGTTCATACAGACGCCACAAAAAATTCTCTTCAGAATTCATTTTAAAGTAGTTTTATAATTGTTTTGGAGGAAAAAAGTCTTTTATTCTGTCCTTACGTAGAGTTATCATGCAAAAAAATCGTTAAATTGCATTCGAAAGTGGTTAAAATGAATATTTTTGTTGAAATATGCTGCCTGAAACTTTTCGTGATGATTACAATACTTCCTTTTTAGTTCGTACAAGGAAGTAAAAATTTTAAAAGCATTTAATAATAACTTTTTAATTAAATTTTATTATTATTTTTTAAGACGATGCTTTGAATAAGGAGTCCATTCAAGCAATACAGAAAGCAATATTTTTATTGTGCCTTGACAAAAAAGTACCTGATACAGGTTGCCTTAACAGGAAAACACATGTTGCCTTACAGACTATCCATGGTGGGGGTGCTAAATGGAATGCAGGCAACAGATGGTATGATAAAACTATACAGGTAATTTTTTTTCCCTCATGTTAGCATTTACTTGAATGCCATCGATTTTTTATTTAATGTTTCAAATGTGAAATGTATTTTTAAATTACACTTTAATGCTTATTTTGAAAATGATATTCTGGAGATAATAATTTGTACCTTTAGTATGAATGTTCGATTGAATAATGAAAATTAAAAACACATGCTTAAAAATGCATTAATTATATAGTTCTATCAAAGCTTTTCTAAGCTTGTATAAAATTCTGCTAACTTTTTCAGCCTGAATTAAGCTCTAAGTGACATGATGGCTTTTATCCATGCATGAAATTTGCCAGTTAATGTACATTGTTGTCACATGAACCAAGCAAAACAAAATATTTAAATATGCTTTAGTGTTTAAAATATTTTGTTTTCTTATTTTTTATCATTTAGATACCTCTGTGTTACATGAATGTAGTGTAATAAAAACGAAAAGGGAAAAACTTATTAATAAAAATATGGTTAATATAATGCTGTCTGAGAGTAGGTCTAAAATGCCTTACTGCTTGAAGAGAAATGTATCATATTTCTTTCTTTATCTAAGCAATTGTAAGGTATGAATGAGGATTAATATCATACTCATGTCTCCATTGTTTCTAAAACTAAATCTGAAAGATATTCTTGTATTTTCATTACCACTTCAGTAGCATCTCGCATTTTTTGAAGGTCAGTTATGGTTCTCGTTAACCACTTAATGACACTAGCATTTAGATACATATCTGTTAATTGATCATCAGAACTATTATACTTTTCTTCCATCTTCAGTTTCAATAATAATTATATCATCACTTCAAAAATGTGACGTAGCTGAAGAAGGAAAGCATTAATTAAATGCATTATTTTAAACTTAAGCAATTGCTGTTATTTTTCATGTTATATTCTGAATTTTTTTAGAATTAAAAAAATATTAAAAATTCTACTAAGCTTTCAATTGTAAAAGAGAAATGTGAAAAATTTGTGCGGTATTTAAACACACAAATTCATAAACTGTCATATTAGAATGTACACCTTACACATACACAACAGAATAACAAAAGTAACACATTAGTGAAGGTTATATATCTTATAATTTTTCATTTTATATGTAAATGTTTTCCATTGTAACTTTTTTAGGCTTTTCATGAACTGATTTTGATTTCAATTTTTTTAATATTTAGTTTATCGTAGGTGAAGATGGTGTAGTTGGTTTAACTTATGAGCATAGCCCTGCTGAAGGTCCCCCTATAACTAGCATGATGGATCACATTGTGCAGTATCTGTGAGTATTTTAAAAGATTAAATATAAAAGTCTTTTATGAGAAATACCTTCTGAAATCTTATAATTAATATGAAAAACTAATATGCAGAATAATATATGCTTAAAAATTACTTTTCATTTCTAGTGAAAAAACTCGTGGAAATAAGTGGCTTCCTTCAAGTGCTATTACCCAGCCTAAGAAGCTGAGATTTAAGCTCTCTGATGATACAATGAAAGATATTGCTGAAGCAGAGCAAGATCTTGAAAAGTAATGTGACTCATGAAATTTGAAATTATTTAAGCTTCTTTAAATATTATGTAAAAAATATCATTATAAGAAATTAAGAATTCAAAGTTTTATTTTAAGTTTCATAATATACCCTACCTTTTTAATTTAGAAGTCAGCTGAGGATGATGGTTCGGTAAAACCATCGAAACTAGTCCTGTGAAAATTGGAAAATATAATGCTGATTTTTGTTGTTTGAGTTCTAAATTAATATTTGTTTGGCATGTTATTGTATCTTAATTAAACCCTACCTTTTGTTAAAATTTTAAAATATTTCCTGTGGGCAAATTAGAATCATGTGTTAAGAAAATTAAGACAATTGCTTTAATTTCCAGCATATGCCAACACCCAAAATTAAACATTACCTTTTTACCTCAATATTAAGCACTGCCTTTGATCATTAACCCCTTAACTGCTATGGAAAATTTACAAGATTCACTCCCCAGTGGCACCCCTTTTTTTACACAGGTTGCTCGTAGTTATGTGATGTTTTGGGGAAAACAAGGGCAAGTTTTGCAGTCTAAAAAGTGTTTATTTTTACAAAATAAAGAATAAAAGAAAATACAAAATTTAATTTTTAGAGTAAAAGTATAATAAAAATGATATTTGTGTAATAAAAAGATCCCAAAAAATGTAGTTTTGATCAGTTTATTTTGAGATTATTAAATATCAGGGTTCAGTGTTACACCTTGTAAAATCTGATTACCTAAAAAACATAAATTTCTTCTAATTGTTTGGATGCTATAGGCAAGTTTTTTATATCAAGTTGTAACCAACATCAAGCATCTTTTAGAGTATAATCACAATCCTCTTCATCTGACATACTATTATATTCTGAGGTGTCCGATCCTGAAGATGATGGTAAGTACTAATCTATTAAACGAAAATGGAACACACAGAATAAAAAAAAGACGTTTTACTAAAACAGAAACATGAGCAATAGCCATACAGTCATTACTTTCACATTTAAGAAACATCCCCCTCTCCAGTTCCTCCCCCCTTCTCTGAAATAGTATCCTCTTTCGCATACCCTGTCAAGGTCATTGTGGTCTTGCATTCCAAAGCTTTGTGAATAATTTTACTGGTAGCAGTGCAAAACAAATAAAATTATTTCAGAAGGGCATACATATTATACACCTGGGGCAGTTAACGCATCAGCTGAGCAAGGTGTATATGTATGCCTGCGGCAGTTAAGAGGTTAAAGCATACTGGAAGATATCTCTACAGCACTTTGTTGTAGTGAAGATGTTTACAATGAAATGGTGCAACAATATGTGACTCTAAATGAGTTTTGAAAAGTGGAACAGGGTCACTAAATCTTCAAGAATGAATCGTAATTAAAATATAATAAAAAGGTACCCAAAATACAGCAATGCTACAGCTTATTTGTATGCAGTGTTGTTGTAGATTAATTTAGGATGCAAATAATAGGTAGTGAGGATGAAAATAATCTTTTTTTCTAAACAAAAGATAATAGTCTATTTGCAGTTTTTTAACACAGTATTGTGTACTTAATATGACTAGACACAAAATGACTAAAAGCATTTATCTTGTAATAAAATAAAGAATGCAAATACAGCCTCTTGAAGGCATTGGTGTATGGTCAAAATCCATCAGTAATTTAGCCATCTCTTCAAAAATGTAGCCTGGTGGAGGTGACCAATATTATACCTGTAGGTGGGGATATGTATAACTATTAATACCCATGCATTCTGTGAAATTTAAACCTATGCCCAACTATATGGTAATTAGTTTTCCTAGTCATCACTCTTGAACAGGGCAGCAAATAATAATAATTAAAAATGTTAGCATAAACATTCTTGAATTGCTATGCAAAAGTACTTGTATAAAAAGGAAAGTAAAATAATAGTTGACAACATAATATTGTGTCTTTATGGTTAATTAAAATCCTACATATTTAAAAAGATAAAATTGCTTTTGCATTTTTTTTATTTGCAAAAATTGAATGTAAGTGATATTTCATATATCTAGGAATGTAGCTTGAGTGAATATAAGTTGTTTATTAAGTTAAATGAACTTTTAAATTTTATTATTAATTCAAAACTAATGAATGTGTACAATTTTTTAGTCTTGTATCTGATTTGGAAATGTCATGCTTTACTTATGAGCCTTATGGTAAAGAATTTATTAAATCACAAAAGTTAAGTCCTGATAGTTACATACAAATGGCCATTCAGCTGGCATTCTACAAGTAAGTAAATATTGTTTATACTTTCTTTACCTTTTTAAAAGATAATTCTTAATGTTATTTTTTAAAATTTTCATTTATCTTTTTCATGTTGTTTATTTTGTTGAATATGCAAATGTGATTTTTCTAATACTTTTCGGCTTTTTTATGTTTTGGCTAAGCATCATTTTTTTTTATAATGATTAACTGTATTTGGTTTTCAATGATAAACAAATATAATTAAATCACGAATTAAAAATCAAGAAAAAGGTCAACTGTCTAACCAGAAGTGCACACATCAAAATTGAAACAAAAACAATTCAATAAATTATCATAATAAATTTAATGTAAAAAGTGGTGATGAAAATTCCTTGGTCTTTTTTAAGGAGCCTTTGAAGAATTTTCAACATAGCCACATTTCTGAATTATATCTATATGATTGTGAATACTAATTAAAAGAAAGTTATAAAATAAAAAATTAATTTAATTTAAATTCTTAAATTAAAAGTCCTGTAAAAGAATATAATTTTTTTATTTTAATTAATCATCAAGATAAAGTCTGCTCTGTCATAACCCCAAAATAAATAATATATGAAGGATTGGGTAAAAAACTAGAGCAATCATTGGGTAAAACAAAGGCAATGTGCTTAACACTCTCAGCATTATGGACAGAAAATTCCGTATAGAAGGGCGGCTTTCGTATTCATTACACATGTATCAAGTTTTGGTTTGTATGTATATTGGAAGAAAAGGAATCAAGGTACAAAGTGAGAGAGTAATTTTATAATTATAATCAAGAAAATGCCATTTTTTCATGACATTTTGAGAAACTTTGAGATTTCAGGTCTAAACCCATAACACTCGGATTAACAAATATTTATTAAATTCAAGACAAAGAAAAAGAAGAATTGCTAAAAAAATCTTTACAGAACAAAAGGTAAGAATTATAAAACAAAAGCAAAAATAATTCCATTTAAAGTTTTGTGGAAACAAATTTATGTAGAAGAAATTAATCAAAAGTAAAATAAATAAAGAATTTGAAATAATAAATAATGCAGAAAAGTTTCAAAATGGAAGGGTATATGGAAAAATGAAAGGCTTATAGCCTGAAATGAAAAAAAAATAAATAATAATAATAATAATAATAATAATTTAAAATTAAAAAAGCAATCTACCTAAAATTGGATTTAGAATTAGGTATCCTTAGATTGCCAATAGATGGCGGTAGTGTTTGTAAAAAGAAACTGTGATGTCATAATTATGTATATATATCAGTTCGTCTTTGGTGTTCGTCAATAAACATTGTGTGGAATAACACTGTCTGTTTATTACTTTTATCCAGTCTCTATCCAGGTCTATCCAGTCTGATTTATTAAAGACTTACATATATTTTGTTTAATATGGCAGTACTTTTGTTTTTATTTTATTTTATTTTATTTTATTTATTATTATTTTTTATATTTATTTATTTATTTTAAGCTCTATTAATAAAGCAGCTGTATTGCAATACTGTTAATTTTTAGAATTTTTATTTTCCAAACTCCAGGAAAATGGAAATAAATTATTAAATTTGCAGTTTGTTAATATGCTGTACAAAATGAAATCTGCAAAAAATTCAGCACAAAAGTCTAATATCTGGAATGATCTAATACTCAGCCTTTGAGACCACTAGCAAAAAGAAAGAAAAAAATCAGAATTCTTCCCCCACTTATGAAATCTAGAAATGGAGAACATAATAGTCAGGAAAAAGCAGGTGTGATGTAAAAATGATTTTTTTAAACTGGCTAATTGAGATTCTATGTCACACCATGGCTAATGACAATGCATTGATGCTTTAAGCCTTTGAATATTGGGGGCTATAGTATTTTCCTATCTGATCTAACAAAAAGTAAAGTTTCAAGACATATTTTTATTTGAATGTTGCTCATACTCTTTTTCGTGTATCAGTAAGCAGCAGGGAAGAGATAAAGAATTAGATTCCATGGAACCTCAGTTAACATAACAAATTGCATTCTTCTCTAACTTTTTGATTTGAAGCAGCTTATTATTTTATTCCATCTACTATTAATGTTATCAAAATTACACTTGTAAGTAGCTTTTTATAAGCCAGTGCTGAAGTAATCAGTTCTAGAGGGAAGTCCCAGATTTTAATATAAAATGTGATGTGTGAGGCATTGTAAGATCAAGAGAGGGCATGTCTGCAAATTTTTTTTAAATACTTTGTGTAATATAGCCAGCTACCATATTTCATGATGATGACAGCCATGTATCTGAAGGTTTTCGGTTATCACAAGAAAAAGCAAAATACTCTGATTAATGGAATATCAGAAGAAATACTGAAGTCTTACATTACACTGACAATACCTCAATCATCAAATCTATGGAATGGCAAATATTGGTAGTATGGTTTTAAATCTAAAAAATACTGCCATTTTGGCTTCAAGTCACATTTTAATTTCATATGGTTATTATTCAAAAAAAAAAAAAAAATCTGTATACAAAATACCACTTTCGTGAAGAAGTATTAATAAAAGATATTCATTTTATAATTTCTGGGTATCATTTTACTGAATTTAAACTTATGATCTGAAATCCAGAATTGCCAAAGAGTTCTAAAGATTCTGGATGTTGAACTTTGTACTGTAATAACAGATACTTTAGTAAGAAAATTTTCTTCAGCTCTTCTGTGTCACGTTACTCCTGCTTTGCCAGCCGAAAGAGACTGGTCACGTGATTTACTGATCGCTTCGATTTGTTTCTCGGAGTGAAAATAGGGAAGATGAGTTCTGTTGTGCAATACAAAGAGTCTCTTGCTTAAATGCCGACAAGAATAAATAAAAACAAACAACGTATAAAGGAGATATGCACAAATGGAAAATTACTGAACAAAAATCAGTTTAAAATTTTCACGAGAATAACATACACACACACAGAATGAAAAACACATCTATAATAAACTTTTAGAATTTATTTTAACGATTGTAAGCTAAAATAATTGCTGTAAACATGTCTGAAAAATTAATTACACTAATTATTTACATTAAAAATTAATTATTTGCATTGAAGTCTTTAAAATAGTGCAAAATTAAAGAATTTCTTACTTTGGGTTTCATTAAGCAATTATGCAAAAACAATAATAAAAATATTTCAGTTGGAAATTTAACCTCTGTCGAATCGTCCGAAAAACATTCTGAATCGTCATCATCGTCCAAGGAAATAAATAAAGAGTCGCACATTTCTTCAAGTATACCATCTTTTTCCCAGTAAGCGTTTTCCAAGCTTTCTGCGTGTGCACAATAGTTCTTCCATTTTTCAATTGTAACATTTTCTATAGCGTGTTCAGTAAGCTTTAAGAGTTTTTCCATGTTTATATCTGCCGTTATGTTTTGTGCACGAATAAAATGTTTGTTATCTGCCCAAACATACTCTATAGCATTTATGTCACAGTGATATGGTGGCAGTCTCAATGCTGTGAATCCATGTTCTTCTAACATGACATCAAATTTATATGATTTTTCAGTGGCAAATGTTCTTTAACAATGTTCTTTTGCATATTTGGTGAGTACACAATATTGTTTGAAGTAAGCCAATCCATTATACTCTGCTTATTATGAGATGAATTTGGGGACTTGTTCAGTTGCACTGAATGGTAGGTAGCATTGTCTATTACAACAATGGAATCCTTTAGTAAATTCGGAATAAATTTTTCTGTTGCCCATTTCTCAAATATATTCAAATTCATTTGCCCGTGGTAATCTCCTGTGCTACAATTAGCTTTATAAATTAAGTTTGTGTTTTGGAATTTGGAATAAATCCCATTTCCCTACCTGCGCATAAAATGATGATTCGCCTTGATGCTGCTCTCGTCTTCACAGCTCTGAATACTTCCTCCGACTGCCAACATTTTCCAACCGTCAAATTACTATCGATCCAAGTTTCATCTACGAAAATAAGAGGCCTTTTCTCTTTTCTGAATCTGTGAATATTTCTCAAATATCTCGTTCGCGAAAGTACTATATCATTTCGTTCCATGATGACTTTTCTTTTATTTTTACAATTTTTCCAACGTAATCCGATTTCATGAAGTATCTTTCGTAGGGTTTCTTTCTCTCTTGGAAAATTTATTTTTTCCTTTATCAGTAATTTTGGAACAGTTGGTACCTTTTTCTCCATCACATAAAACTCGTGGACAGTTCTCCTTATTACATCAAGATCAAATCCGTCTAAAGCCACATTTTCTATCGTTTTCTTTACAGTATATTTCTTAGGCGAAGGAAATCTGGGGGGATCATTTCGGTTGCCTTCTTCACGAATTCTTCTGATGGTGCTCTCCGATACACCGGCGATAGCAGAAGCTCGTTTAGTAGCATGCGATAATGGGATGCATACAGAACCCCTTATCTGCTTCATTATCACAAAATGTAACAACATTGTGCAAAATTCCTTTGGTCGAGCTTCGAAAGTGCTTGCCTTTTGAATTCGATGATGCTTTGGAATCCATGAGCAAAAATATCAAACAAAAAAAAAAAAAAAAACACAAAAGTATTAGACAATAATTAATTGTGACTGATATATCGATCTTGAGATGGAAAAAATTGAATTTAAACAAGCACAAAAGGGAGAAGCTAAGAACACTCTGAGATCACTGAAGTAATTTCCAAGCAAGTATATTTTTCCGTCCCTCCAGACCTTCCTTTCTCCCCCCTGACTTGTTCCATTTTCTTGGCAGCGCGTCAAACCCAGTCTCTCTCGCTTGGACAAGCAGTAGCTCAATATTTATGTCTTCCAAATCAGAATGAAGATTCCTGGCTGTATTATGTGTTATTTTGGTTCTTTCTTTGAAACTGGTTTTTTGCTTCAATATGTCATTGCTTGTAGGTATTACTGTATTATATTATTACTTTTTGGGCCAAAAAAGCTAAGGTTAAAAAGGTTATTAAAAATCATAATAATGCCATTTTGTTTCATAATTATCTAAAATGAAAATTCCAGGTGCTGAGAACAATAAATTGCACTCTGAGTACTACAAGGATAATTCAAAAAATGAGGTAATAACTGCTGTTACTGTGTAATAATCCTCCAGTTATATAAATTCCCTTCTTGGGGAACAGCTAAACCTCAGCATTTAAACACTGCTTGTAAATGGTTTTAAATTAACTGGTTAGAATGTTGAAATGTGAAAGTCAGCTTGAAAGTTAAATGTTGAAATGTGAAAGTCAGCTTGAAAGTTAAATGTTGAAATGTGAAAGCTGGTAAAAGTCAGTAAGGCTAAAGTTGAACCGCAGCAGAAATATATCATGAGCTTATTGAAGTATCCAGTGCTGTCATTAACATAACACAAATTTATTTCTGGCACTCTGATTTTGATAAAAGCATGCAAGATGAGCAACAATGTGCTCAAATCAGCACATTTGTCATGAACGTCATTGTTTGATTTGTTGAAGCATTGATTCAAGACTGAGTCATAATAACCTTCCTGAACAACTGAACTACCTGAAGACATATTTACAATGAACTTGACAATATCCTCTCTGAGCTACAGACCATAAAGCCACAAGGATGGGATTATTTTTTATGCAGTTTATGGTGAAGGTGTTTCGTTCTCGCAGCATATTGTAGCAGAAAACATTTGAGTGTCTTATGTAAACATTGAAATGATGCAAAAATTCCATGTCATGAAAATGTGGAGTTGATGTTGATTTCTTCTGTGTCTGCATCAATGCTTTATTATACCAATTGGAACAAACGTTTGAACAAGCATAGACCATGTTGAAAAATAATGTTTTCCTGGTTTGTTATCTGCCTTCTTAATTGTCTTCTTATAAATGCAGTTTTGACTCTTCCCTAAGAATTATTGATGCATTAATTTCAAAAATACATTTATCTCTTCATAACAAGAAATTACAAATGAAGGACTACCTTTCAGTTGGACTGTATGCTTTGCAAGCATATTTTTTTTCTCTCTAAAATTTACTGATGTACTATTTATTTATCCTGTGAATTATGGGGGCGGGGAGAGAATTCATAGAACAATAACTAATGAGTAGAGATAAATGCATTAGTGTTGATCTCATACCCATAGTGACAGCCTGACATGCATACTTGTATTTACAAATTTGTAGGCAATGAAATACCCCTGATATTTTTAGTGCCCATTAAAATAGTTTCTCTCTTACATTTTAATAATGTATGTTGTTTATCAAACTTTATCTCTATATAGATTAATATACTAAATTAAGTTATATAATAAAATTAAATTACATTTCATATTTAACAGGATACATAATCAGATAGCTGCTACATATGAATCAGCTTCATCTCGTAAATTTCTGCATGGACGAACGGAAACTATACGCTCAGCTTCAATGGAAGCTTTGGACTACTGCAAAATAATGACCGATAAATCCTCTCCTGTGCATACAAAGGCTGCAGCATTACGTTCAGCTGTAGATGCTCACAAAGAATACACTCTACAGGCATGAAAATTTTGCATTATTAATCAGTTTTGATAGTTTTTATGACTTCTAGTTATTTAATATAGCATCCTTTTATTCACATGCATTTAAATGATATAATTTAACAAATAAAACACTCAGGTAATCTGTTATATGTTTGAATTAAGGCACTTTATTCATAGAATGTGATTATTATCACATTCTATGAATGTGAGTATTTCAGCTATTTTCTAGAGCTTCATGACTACATCTAACCAGTTGACCAAAAAATCAATGTTGGCTTGTTTTCTGTTGTTAATAATATTTAAATTTGCTTTGAGAGTGATATTCATCATCTTATTTTAAATGTTTTTATAGGGCAGTAGTAATGATCAAAGCTGGTATATTAACCATTAATTTACCATTCTGCTAAAATAACATTCTCAAGACAAATTCACACACAAATTCTAAAGTTTGCTATGAATGTGTTTTTATTAATTTTTCTTTTCTACTCTAGGCTGTAAATGGTTTGGGAATTGACAGATTATTGCTGGGATTGAAGAAAATTGCTCTAGAATGTGGCATGAATATACCTGAATTATTTCTTGATGCAGGTTATACAACAAGTACTCATTTCAAACTCTCAACAAGTCAGGTAATACATTTTTTATAATTTTTTCCCCCAATGGCAGATTGTGAACAGTTACAGTGTAACACAGTCTATTAATCTATACAAGGCCAGATGTGGTGGTCTCTTTATTATGGAGGCACCTAATAGATGGGCCACCATCACCTCCTATGAAGGGACGGACAGTTACAACCATGCCTTCTCAAGGATTCGAACCCAGGCCCTTCGGTATCGCAGTCAGCTTCCCTAACCACTATACCGACTGTGCAGCTTTTTTATAAATATAAATATATAGTACTTAATTTTAAATTCTTTGTATAACAAAATGACTTTTTACATAACTTATGAATGTTATTAAAAGAATGATCAAAGCCAATTTAACTTCATTTGAAAAAATTTAAATAAAACAGAACATAGTGAGAGGAATTTCTAATCCAGTATCATGTACAGCAGAACTATTGATTAGCATTAGTTTTGTATGTCACAGATAAGGGTTACATTAAAAGAACTGAGTGAAAAAGACTATCAATTGTTAAGTTAAATTATTTTCGAAAGTGATATTTTGCATACCAAACATTGTCTGGATCAATACCGAATATCAATGTACTGTATCATCTGGGATCATACTTGATGAACTGGAATCACTCATTCTGTCATATTCAATGCAGTTTTAAACAATTTTATATAAAAAGAATGAAATATATAAATAGGTTCTAAAACTTCAAGGAACTACATCCACCCAAAACAGTGTCTAGTTAAGCATTATGTGATCAGAAATGCATCTCATCATCCAAAGGTATTCATTATAGGAAATCAGAAATAAGCCACATTGCTATTAGTAGCTGACTTCCCTCTCCCACACACTATACACATACACAGTCTGGGTCTTATTCATTTGATGAAGAGACAGTCAAAACATTTAAAATTCATGCTGTGAGATTTATATATATTACCTGAAAATTTGTACCCTTGTTGTAATTAATTAAAACTTTCATCTATAGTACACATTTAATATACAAATAGTAAATAATAATGTAAATATATGTTTTTATCAGACTTAAAATATAATTCATTTTGTATTAAGTTTTACTGATGAAATATACAAAACTGTGTACTATATTTAAGCAAGTTTATTTAGAAAGAAAAAGTTTATATTATCAGCAGGTAAAAGATTTTTTGTTGGGATAAATCTTTTTGGTCAAGCATGAGGGTTGATTCTTGAGTTGCTTACTTACATTTGCATCAACAGATAGCAATAAATATTTTGTTTCTTATTATCAAGCTGCTATCTTTTGTAAAACTCGTGAATGTCATCTGTGCTGCAGTTTTATTTTTTGGGTGATCTCAATCTCACTCAGCAGCGGCTGAAACATGTGTGCAAGCAAAATGTTCAGAATACATAGGGACAATTATATAAATAATAGGCTAATCCTTGCACTTACATTAGAATTAAGAAAGATTTCCTTCTTTAATATTTGATATTAGGTAATAATAATAATTTTTCTCTTGTATGATGTGCAATCAAATTTAAAAGTTTTAACACTTATTTTCAAATTTTATTTTTATGAAATAAAACTTTTGTGAGTTTACACATCAAACAGTTATGTAATATGCAATAGCGTTTCATGATATAATTTTGTAATCTTTAAAAAGAACCTGGTTTGGTCCTTTCCTTGTGTACTGTGTAAATGATTTGCTACTGCATGTAAGTACTTCTAGGAGAAGGAGTTTATTCAAAGGCGAATCGGGATCAGTTAGTAATGCAGGATCGAAAATACAGTCATAATACAACAAAGGAAATTGTTGGGAAACTGATAAAACATCCTCACAGGAAATGCATCATTCAATAATTTCCTGCAGAAGTAGGATGGAAAGTTTCACAAATGTAAAATTAACAGATATGCATCTAGCATATGAAGCTACTGATTGTTATGGGGACGAACTATCATGCACCTGTACGAGAAGTGTATTCTGAACTACCAGATATTTGCATGATTATGAGAATGGGTTCCTTGCAGAGATGTGCCATGAATTGGGGATGAATGGCATGGAGCTGTGTAATCAAAAAGCTGGTGCTTTGTCTTGCAAAAGACACTCCACATGCAAGCACACAAACAGTTGCTACTCCCTTTGGTCTTCTACAAACTATTGTCTGGAGTATCCTGAACTTGAACCAATTTCATCCATATCATGAGCAGCATATATAGCTACCTCAGCCAAATGACTACACAAAGAAAATTGTTTTTTCTCAAGGGTATCTGCAGAAGAGTTTGGCTTGGTGGGGAAGTTTTCGTCTTATTCACAGTTGGGGCATAATTCACCAAAGAATGTTGCTACAATTCACATAATTTCTTGTATGGCCAGTTTGGAATTCTCATCTTTTACGAACAAGTGTAGCACAACACCAGTTGACTGTCAATGTTTAGTCCAACAGTGTTAAAGAAACACACTCCTTAAATAACCCTTTATTTTTCAGTTTCCATGAAAAAGTTATCTGTTATTTTACTACATGCTTTTAATTAGTCAAACAAAACACAAAGAATTCTGCGAATATTTTTCTAAAAATTTTGTATTTTTTAATATTTTTCTGACACAAAATAAATGGTAAATAATTACCGCAAGTGAACTTGGTGTATTTTTTTTTTAATGAAGGAACACCAAAAATAATTTGAAAATAATTGAATTTTATTAATTATAAACTGAATATTTATCTGTATAGGATGTGAAATGTGAAAGGGATTACTGAAAAAGAAATAAAATGTGAAAACTACAGAAAAGTTTTGGTTCAAATTAGAAAAATGTGGTAGACCTTCAAACATGGCATTACGCATAAAGTTGCATTATAAGCTGACCAAAATTAATGTGTTTACAAATGTACTTAAGAGGCATGGCATAAAACTCACATATTCTCATAACAAAACTTTGTGAAAGTCAGCAGCATAGCCACAAAACACACTGCAAGTTTATTCAGAATAAATAAAGTTCTGTCCACGAACCCGAAGAAGTCCATCATGAACTATGAATTAACTCATCATAATTATTTTTGATGATTGAGTAAACCCTTAATAACTAGGCGAGTGATTAATAGGCCTATTTCTCTTATCTGCATATTTAGACAGAAAGTGCTATAAGATTTTTTGGGGGTCTTTTCTGAACTGTGGAATAACCGACAGTTCCGGCAGTTGCTGCACCACAATATGTGGTTCTGATATGAGAAGGCCCAGTCTATTTCTGCCATGATGTTGAAAAACACCTAAATGTGAATATTTGGATAACAATAGATCAGACATGATGGTTGCATTCATTGAACTCCATAATCATTGGGCATGGTTACCATAGAATAATTTTTTAATGGGGGTCACGTGAAAGATCTGGTCTACAATACCTGGACAGTAAAAAGAATTTTCTTGCACACATTTAAGACACTGCTCTGGCTGCCCAGAATTTTTCTACTCATCCATGATTTCATACGGTGCAGATATTGGTAGTTGGCTTGTGTTGCATTGGTAGTTGAAAGTTCAGACATCTTCCATGACCTCTCTTAATATTACAATTGTTACATTGCTTTATTTGTGTGCTGCTGTTTTATTTTCTATGGTCTCTGCACGGGCTTTGCATTTTTTTCATGGTCTTTCATTTGCACTTGATCTCAACTCTCCATTGTTACTTGATCCCATTTTATCTTCGAATAACTACCCCTCTCAGAAGTTTGTACACGTGGTAGGGAAGAGTTTTGCTTAAATAATCTTTCAGGATTAGTTCTAGTACATACATTTCAGGATTAGTTTTAGTACATATTTTGTTAAATTTATGGTCTTTGCCTTTAAGATAATACAGATAAATAGCAAATGTGTAAAATAAAGTAACAATTCCACTTTTAACTTATTCTTTAAAATAATTAATTTGTTGTGTATAATAAACAATCAGAAGTGCTAGATTTTATTCTGACAGAACTCGTATTGATAACTTTCACAGTAAAAGCATTCAAGTCTCTTAACCTCTTGCCGTACAATGTCCTGTAAGAAATGTGATACGACGGTGGGTCAAAGGTAAATACAACGTGGGAGAGACACAGTTCATTGTTTGGGCTACAGTTGACAAATACTTAATTTTCCTGTCACATTCAGATGTGCAGATATATTTCCTTTATTTAGATAGCCTTGAAGATGTCTTCAAAAAGAATATTAAGCTTTGATGAAGCCAGTGAAAGTTTGGCTAACATCGTAAACGATTGTTTGATGGATATTTCAAATAGTAACAGTAGTGATAATTTATTTCCTGCATGAAAACATTGTAAGCAAATGATCAATGAAGATGATATTGATGAAAAAGAACACAATAATGATCAATCAGAGCTATCGATTTGCAAAGAAAAACTAATGAACCAAAAATCTACATAGAGATTCCAAGAATAAAAATGGCAACCTTTAAATCATTTAGGTGGAAAAAAAAAAAAGAATTATACATTTGAAATATAATATTTGACAAAAAGTGTTGTCAAGGAGAGGAATTAATACACAAACCACATAATAAGCAATTTAAATAAAAGATGAAAAATTGATGAGACTTGGTTCTTGTAAACTGTGAAGAAATGAAAATACATTTTGCACTATATATAATAATGGCTGAAGTTAAGAAATCAGCAGTTCAAATGAATTTGTCAAAAAGGACAGAGAAACTTCAATAACGATGCCATTCAACAGATTTTTTCAAGTAACAATATAGATAAAGTAATGTAAAATAAAACTTTTGATAAATTTTAGATCAAGATAATAAATATTTTTTGTTTAATGATCAAATATTAGTAATTTTTGTCAAATAGCTTTCACTTGTAGTTTTCAAATGGTCAAAGTACATTTAAAAACTAACCAATTAATAATATTCCCTTACATGATAAAGAAACTTCTTAGTGTGTTATAGCTCAGAAATGAACACAAAGATGTAATATTAACAGTAAAACTGTCCATTTGATTACTTTAGGCGAGATAGCAGTCAATTCTTTGACTATTTAGCAATATAACTAGCAGTTTAGTAATATAGCTTTAACATTTGGCAGTTCTCTTAATATAGCCAGTTACCATAAATCTTTCAGAAAAGTGTGCAGTACTTTCACATAACTGACAATGGAGTTGTTTCCACTTTAAATGAACCATGAAATCGCTTCATATGGCTGACCTTATACATGTGTGTGGCACATGCTCTTGCAATTCAAATCATAAGGCAAGGGGTTATTACAGGGTGGTCATAGAAAAACTTTTCCAATATGTGAATGCCAGGTAGCCTATCTGCTCAATCAATCGAAATGAAATGTCGGATATTGTTATTTGAGGATATGCGCTTGAGATTGTGATAAATTTAAAAAACAACAGAGGTCTCACGATTACAGTACAAATATCTTTAAATTTTCTAATGGGAAAACCCACTCTTTTTCCTAAGCAAATTAATCACCATATTGAACAATCATAAACGACATTGGAACATCTGACGAAAACTGCCAACGTAAAACATTTGCAAAGAGCATTGTCAGGGTTTGTAGCGGTCCTTACAAGTGCTTATAAGTCCTTATATTTGAAAATAAAATATAAAGGCCCTTATAGGTGCTTACTTTTTCTTTAAAGCCCTTATTTTTTTGCTTTTAGTGCTTTTTTTTAATCCTTTTTTTAATGAACGCGCATTTTTCCCCCTTACCAAAGCCGAAACTAAATAAACAACTTTTCTTCCTTATATGCAACATCAGATGGTGAATCATACTCCCGGAAATTCCTTTCCCCCTCTTCATTAATGTAACCTATGGTACGCGAGAGAGTACAGACAGGTGCACATCGTTCTATTGATCAAAGAAGTGCGAAAACGGTAGAAAATTCCGGTACATTCGGTATTCTTTTCCTCCCACCCAAATACTACACGTGTTTGAATTTCTATCAAGATTTTAATAATTTGCATTCTCGTTCTGCATGGTCAGTTCATATTCGTGTTTATTATGAGCATATGTATGAATATTTATAATAATATAGTTGCAGTAACTGCAGAAGTATAGGTAAACTTCCAAAAATGGGTGTGTTTTTACACAGATTAGCTTTCTAATGAATAATATTCGGAATGGCTTAAATAAAAGGAAAGTAATCGAATAGTCAAAATAATTTCCTTCCCCCCCTCCAATACATTATACAGTATGGAAGATGAGGGTTCTCTCCTTTCTCCGCAAAATCTCGAATATTGAAACCGTTGCAGTTCGCAGCAAAGCAAGCAACGAACTTTTTTTTGGCCACTTTCCAACCTGGATTGAATAGGACTGAAAGTTCTGCGGTCTGCCAACCCAAGCGAAGAATAATTCTATTCCAGAAATTTAATGCAGTCTATTCAAAATTAGAATGAAAAACACCCTAGATTGGTAAATCTCTTTATTAATCAATATGAGTATGGCAGGGATATTGTGTGGAGCACGACGTGTCTTGCTCAACGATAAATGTGCCACATGACTGCATGACTGTGAAAAACCAAATGAAGCAAAGGCGCGTTTTCCTTTATTTAAATATTTATTCTCTGAATACTGGCAGCTGTTGATTCCGATTGCGTAATATCACATGCGGAAGAATAAAGGTGTACATATTGCGCAATAACGTTTGCGATATTTTGCAGAGATAAAAGATTTTTACTGTGCTTTCAGTTCCATTGGGCTATTTTTTATATGATACACATATCGAAATATCAAAAGCATTATTTAGCTGAAAAATCTAAAGAGCGGCTAAAATTTCCCCCACTCCTCTTTTTCCAGTTACTATCTGGAATATTCGGCATTTTCCGAGTATGCGGGTTAGTTAAGCTTTTACTCTTAAAGGATGACAAGCATTTTTCCGTCTTCTGATTTTAGAAATGTGCCGCTTTTTTACTTAAATTACTTTGCTTGGAATATATGTTAAGGGAAAATTGTTATGCAATGAAAATTTAGAAAATGTTCAGAATTTTGATTTAAGTTAAATTATTTAAATATTAGTATGAGTGGAAAAATAAATTGTATTTATTATTAGGTGCCAAACGAATACAATTAATATGGCTTATTATTATTTATTTTTTTTCTATATTTTTAAACTGAAATTTCATCATTCATTAAAATCTTGCAATATAGTTTTTAGTTCTGCATAGTTTTTTTTTTTCTCTCTCTCTTCATTTTAAAAAAACTAATTCTGTAAATTGAACTGTCATTTAAAATTAAAAAAAAAAAAAAAGTTAATTGTTTTCCATGGTTGAGGTAATGCTCATTCTCTTAATAAATATTGCATTGCTCACATTTTAAATTACGAGTCTAATTTTTCTTTTAAGGTTATGCTGTTGTGTTTAATGTAATTAGACAGATGCTTATTTTTTCTTTAAAATTTGCTTGAAAAGTGTTTATAAGTGCTTATTTTTTTAACTAAAATGTGGCTATGAACCCTGATTGTGAAGGACTAACAACAACACTTGAGAGGAAAGGGGGAAAATCTTTTGGAGGATTACAAGTTTTCAATATGCCCACCTTCGCAGACGATAACACATTGCATGCATGAAATTGTTGACGACAATGACAAATATAACATTGCAAGAGAAATGTGTATAATTTCACATTTTATGGCATCTTTCAATTTTGACAAATCTCATGGATTTGATGTATACACCTTAGATTTCAGATGACTCCAGAAGCAGAAATCTGTCATAGTGGGATCATGGTGGCCATGAAACTGCAAAGTTATGGGAAATGACTTATCTCTGCTGCAGCACTTGTCGAACATGTGTGGAGGAGCACAATCTTGTTTCTGCACACATTGACAACATTCTGCTACTGCTTCTGGAATTACATATTTCTGCAACACTGTTATATGAGCATGTCTTCATACCTGTAGAAGTGACATCTTCGAAGAAGTATGGACTGAGGACAAATCTGCTTGCGATTCTGCACCACAGTCATTTTTAGCTTCATGTAAAAGTACTGTCACCACATCATGAGGATTTTTGTTAGCCTAATGAACACCGATTTTTGGAGTTTATGTTCTCAATTCAGGACAAATGCACCTTATCAGTGTATAATATCTGCTGCAGCTACCTGCTGTCTTCATTATATCTGATGAGGAATTATGACGGTCTCTTTGCAAATGTTTTATGCCAGCAACTTTCGTCCTGTGTACATCTTTCCATTGCCATTTATGTTTTTTTTCACAAATGATCAATTTACACATGAAAAAAGTAGGTGTTACCATTAGAAAATTTTGAAATTTTTAACTGCAACTGCAGTTGTGACAATCTTAAGTGCATACCTTCAAATAACAACATTTGCAATTTCATTTTGATTAGTTCAGTGGCTATGTCACTAAGGGTTTATATAGAGGGGAAGTTCTTTTTATGACCATGCTGTATATCTTATTCATATGCAACCAGCTGCCGAATGGCTGAAGTTGTAAAATACCAATGGTTGAACACAATGGTGACATGAAGTTATGTTCTTTCCTGGGTATAAAACATCTTTACTCCTAGATAAGTCTTCACATACTCTACCATAATTAACTGATAAGCATTGATTTGAAATTATTTCCCAATAAAAATATTCAATTATTTTAACTAAGATAAATTTAGGTAAAGGGCATCTGGAAGATATTAACTAATGAAAAGTGAGAAAAGGTAATTCATAATGAGAAATCAAAATTATGCAATTATTTACTTAAATCAGCAAAGCATTAATATTTTCTGAATCCTTGTTATTTAAGATTTATTCAAGTTCTGCAAATTTTCAAAAATTTTTATAGGTTCCATCAAAAGTTGATGCATTTATGTGCTATGGACCACTAGTACCAGATGGCTATGCATGCTGTTATAATCCACGACCATCTTCAATAAACTTTGGGCTCTCTGCATGTAACAGTAGCCCTGAGACACACTCAAGCAAATTTATGAATCACTTAACTGAAAGCTTAACTGAAATGCATGATGTTATTATCCAGTCACAGAAAGCAAAATTATAAATTAAAACCTTTCATTTTTTATTGAAGTTGATTCATTTCTTGAAATTTCTTATATTACATGTTGTTATATATATATATACTTGTTTCTTTACATTAAAATTGAATGTTTGTAAATTCTTAAGTAAAATTGTTGTTAATCTTTAGAAATGTCTTTCATTTTATGAGTTCAAAATGCTAATAATTCATATTTAAATACAATTTGAAGGTTATTTTAAAGTTCACATATTCAGTATGCATACTTGCCAACCTATGACACTCAAAAATCAGGAGATTTTTCACAATATTAAAAAGACTTTTTAAATGATAAAAATAGTTTTTAATAATGAATTAACTTTAAATAGTAACTAATTCTTAAATGCAAGCAACACAAAAATACCTTACACATACAAAACATTTTTATTACTTGCATCGTTTAAGAAAGAAAAAAAAAAAAAAAACACTTTAATCAGTTTTCGTACAAATGTTATAAACAGTGGCAGATTTTGCTTTCTTTAAGAAACTTCATAATTTTGTTTACAGCAATTGCCACGTATTTCTGCTTTTGCTAATAAAGTTTTTCTAATGTGTCATCACTAATATTAGATCTAAATTTAGTCCTCGTTTACAACAACACTGAGAATCTTCTCAAACTCTGCATTACTATGAGTAACTGACAAGATGGCCAACACAATTCTAGACAGTTCACTATATTTTAAAATTCCATTAGCACCTTTCAGTTTTCCAATTAAACTCCACTGAGTGTTAATCCTAGCTGATTTTATAACTTCATCCAAGTTTTCTAATTGTAAACTGCTGTTATGCAGCTGTTGGAACTGTTTCAATTTTCCCTTCCTTATAGAACTCCTTTCAAGATAATAATAAATATCAACAATATGTTCATCTACATTTATTGGTAAAGAAGCTGCCCCTTTTTCAGCTGCTAAATTTAAGAGGCGACAGGTGTACCTCATAATCTGCAAATCTGAATTTTCCTTTTTTAAGATGCCTGCAACACCAGTCTTCCAAGCCTACCAATACTGATGCATTATCAGCACCAAGTGCTAAGCAATTATCCAGAGGGCCTGCATTTTCTTTTAAAGTTTTAATAATTAACTGTGCTATATTAAAGTCTGTCAAATGTCCTTCTAAAGTGGGAACAGAAAGTAAACTGCACTCAGTTTCTGAAGACTCTGGATTAAAAAAAGAAACAACAATTGGACACAGTTTTGAATCGGTATTATTGCTTCCATCCTTAGAGAGGCAGAACAGAGCTGTTTTAATGCAATCAATAACTGAAGATTTATTTTTCAAACCCATTTCTTTAACAATTGCACCTGTTTTGATTCTTGCACTTGAGTATTTCTTAGCGATTTCACTATCGGGACACATTTTTCTAAATAAAGCTGCAGCGTGATCCGATGCATTCAGTGGCAGGTTGTGCTCCAGTATAAAGGAAGAGAACAGACATTCTGCATTAATAACTTTTTGGTCCTTTGTTTCCGAAGAAAAATTTAATTTTTCGTTTTTTTAAAAACAACTCATGTTATCCTTGTGTTTTTGTGTATGCACATGTTTGAGAACATCCGCCTTTCCACCATGCAAAATCAAAAAATCGCAACGACAGGTGGTATACATCGCAACTTTATTGCATTTCCTTGACGAAATAATGGAAGAAAAGTCAACTGTGCATGATTTTTGAAACGTACACGAGTATTTCACCTTTCTCGCAAACATAACAAAAGATGATAATTTCTAAAACTATTTCCCTAAGGTACGTATACTCGCACAACTCAGGACAGAATGAACGAAATAACTAAAGAACATCCAAATAACAACTTGCTTCGTCCTCATTGGCTAATATATGCCAGCTGGCACGCAGTGGAGCTCGATGCCTATTGGAGAACTGGAGAACGTTTCTGGATATGTATAATGCTCTCACTCACAAAGCAGAAGTTATCTGATTTGCAAGGTTTTTTTTTTTTTAGATATAATGTAGAGAAAATTCAATTGCTTTCACACGTCCAAAAGCTTTTTTTTTTTTTTTTTTTTTTTTTTTTTTTTTGTTTGTTTGTTTGTTTGTTTGTTTGTTCATATAACAAAGTATTAAGCCAAGTTGCATAAAAATCATGAGAAATTTTAAGAATAAGAAAATGTCGGGAGAAATATATTGTAAATCGGGTTGGCGGGAGAGCAGTCAAAAATCGGGAAAGTTGGCAACTCTGAGTATGTATTCTCTATGTTTCTTTCCTTCAAAATGAGTGCTAATTATACTAGCATTTGAAGCTCCTACACATTTTTAATGAAATAAGTCCTACATATAACAGAAAAGTAAAGCAAACACATCAAATTATTTTACTGTAGAATAACTCAGCTAAATTTATAGTTTAAACATTAAAATTCTAAATATTTAGTTATGCAGGTTATTTTGTGATACAGGAAAATTGCATTATGAAACACACACAGCCTACACCTTATATTGTGTATATGCTACACATGTGAAATTAAATTTGGTTTAGTTTCTGTTTAGACAGCATACAAACACAGAAAATGCAACTGTTCATAAACAAAGACAAGATGGCATATAAACATAAGCAGAGAAGATGCCATATAAACATACTTCTTAGAATTGCATTACCAATGGAGATAACCAAATCAACAGAAATATGAAGAAGCCCAGTGTGAAATTTTTCGTGGTGAGAAGGAAGAATACAAAAGGTCTATACCAGCTGATGGAAGTGAGAAGAGATTGAAACCACATCGAATTAGTGGCAACCCAAGTGAAGCAGAAATACACAGTAGCAGATCTAGACAGTGACAATGCTATGCTCCACAATCTTGAAAAGAAAAAAAAGGAACCACATATATATACACCTTGAGATCTGAACTTTCTAAATGTTCCAAAAGCAGATATGCAAGATAAAAGACAATGGAATTGTTACCAATTTCACTTGTCTAACAGTGGTCAGCAGAAGCCCATGACATTCATCATGGCAAGGAGTCAAATGTGCCTAACAAGAGCCTTTAGCACCGTATAGGTGACAGACCAACTTTAGCTCAGACATTGGAATCTTCCTACTCTAATGTATACTAATCTAAATATGTCAGACTCACATAATGAATGCTGACTGGAAAAGACTCACATAATAACTGGAAAAGATTGCATTTGAATCGATGTACCGACTATACACAGTAGTTTCACATTACTTGGAAAATCAAATATTATTAATACCATAAATTTAACAGATTAAGGCCTAAAATTGCTATGATATTCAATCTAATGATTTGATTTTGGAAGTGTGCAATCCTTGAATGTCACACTTGTTAAATGGGTCTTATGATGTTTAGATACATCATGTGAAGTTTATGGTACATTAAAAAAATTTCTTTGCAATAAAATATGTTTGCCCATTTATATATTTCGAATTGTTTCTCTGCAGTATAGTTTCTCAACCATTTGGGATCATCACTTCCCTTTTTGACTTTATTTAGTACCTCTTACATTTACAAATGTGATATACTGGGATGTCATATAAATGCGATCCATGGCTACCGTTTTGAATATGCACTGACCTCTGTGCAGTGCACTTACATTTCATCAAACTAGAATTTTAGTTCATCATTCAGTACACAAATAGATTATTAATCATTACAAATTTCTCGAAATGTTTATAGTACTAACAAAGAATGCACAACTGGCATGTATTAAAAGAATACATTACTTGTATGTATTAAATATCGGTGGTTCTTGTATACATATTTGTATACCTATTTTTAGAATTATAGATTGATAATTTGTAACTTGTCTTTCCTTGGAATAAAAAATTACTATACAACTTGGATCAATATGTATGAACAATTGGCTGATCTAAAACTTTAGTTGGAGATGCATGACTGCAATATTTGTAAAGTCAAGTGAATCACTAAATATATACGTTTAAAAAATATTTAGTAACCAAATTTTACAAGAATATTGCATAAAGCACAGTTAAAAATTAGATATAATGCATTGCATATTTTCAGTATTAAGCGATGAATTTTAATGTCTGGGAGTACTTTTGAGTTTCCCAATCACATATGTATCTATGTTTTGCTTTGAAAACAAACTAATTCCAATAAAAAATGAATTTATTTGAAAATACAGTTAATAGCAATTTGTTAACTAATCAATCTAGAGGGCATCTCTTTACAAATTCAGCTAATATTTCAGACACACTGAAAGAAAAATACAATCTCTTCATCTTAATAATGAACAATTAACTTTTAAGACATCATAATGAACGTTTTATAATAATTAATGCATATTTTGAAGAATGATGCTGTATGAAGCAAACTGGGGGGAAGACATAGATAGCATATTTAAAAATATGTTTACTCTTATGCATAGAAAACAAGTTGTTCAAATTTGACATGAGTGACAACACTTAAATTTTAGGCTCAAATATATGCAGTTTAAGCATTTATTGCTCCCATTTTATAAAATGTAACGTTATAAATATAAATGCAATGAGTTTATTAAATTGTATCAACAATATACAGTTAACAATGAGCGACAGGCCTCTAAAAACCTCAGGTATTAAACATGACCAGATATACAACCAAGAATCACAGATAAAATTAAATGAAATCTGAAACCTAAAGCAGCATATTAAAGTGAAAATTAAAGGTACAAGATTTATAATAATATAAAAAAATTAAGTGATATTTCAAACATTAAAAAATACAGAATAACATTTGAGCTAAAATGGTTATTGAGATTTCATGGACACAAGCTTTCGCTGTCTTGTTCTGAAAGAGAAAAAAAAAAGTTTTAAAATATTATATACATAAATCACCTTTTCCCCTAATAAAAATATTATAAAGAACTACAGGTTAATTTTTAAAACAAATTAGTAATCTTAACTACAATTCTCAAAACAATGATAAATCAGCTACATTTCACATAACTAACATAATCATGAATAAAGTTCATATGGCCATATAAGTGGCACTTTTTTGCTGCAATGCAGCTAATGAAAATTCAGGTAACTTAACATTTTGTCCCACCTGCCATAATGTGCTAATACCTCAGCTACCAAGATATGTGACCCAAAATCACAACTTGGCAGAAATTCTCATAAATATATTCCTTTCTTATATCATACGTGAAGGATATATTAAAATTTTAGGGCATGAAAAATTATGCTATGTGAAATTATAAAGCATTTTTACCGATTTTTAATAATCGAATGACAGATTTAAATTTTGCAATTAGGTTTCAGTTACATGATACAGTTTTGCAATCATAAAAAGATTTCTAATTCATATATTTTATTAAAAGAGATAGAATTATTAAAAATCAAAGAAAATTATTTTCTTTAAAAATTAAATCCTCTGGAGTTTAAAATATTTGTCAATTAAATCATCTAAAGTGGTATAGGTGCAAGTTTTATTGAAGATGTTTTAATATTAGATATAAGTAGATATTAAGAAATTGTCTGTAAGCTGTCACACTCCTGAACATGGTAGAATGATTTATTTTCTTTCCAATATATGATAATGAGCACTATGCAAGAACTTTTTATCTTACATATGTCAGTTTTTAGTTGAAGTTTTATATTATACAATTTTTTAACAATAATAATGCTGTTTTTTAAATATCTTAAAATTAAATGTCTTAATAAAGTTTATGTAGTAATTAATACATACATTTATTTTCCTTTACATGACCAGTTACGTAAATTCAAACATCTTAATTTGTATTCAGGGTTCTTTTTTAATTCTTTCAGCAGTGATTGGCTCAATTCTTATTTATACAAGATTTTAAAAAGCTTTGAGCATATTCCTTCAATATGCATAAGTCATGTATATTTAACTAAATAATCAATTTCAGAACTGAAATCAAGTTACGATAAAACAAACTGCTATTTTTGATTTATAAGTAAAATAATAATTTCTTTCCATGAGTGCGATCATCAAATCATGGTAAAAAATTTAACAATTAACTCTCTTACAGGCATATTTTCCTATAGACCTCCTCTTCCGTTTCCTATTTATTGAATTTTCAAATAAAAATATGCAAAAAGTCTTATTACAAATATACAAGATTTAACAGATGGCTCTATATTTAAATACATTAAATAATTAATTCATTTTAGCATAAGCATATAACTAACAGTTAATGATATATATTCCATGTTAATTTCTTAGTGGAGTTAAAGGAACATGTATTAAAATAAAAATACAAAAATTTAAGAAAAAAGTGTTCACCTGGATTCAGTTCGATGGGACGTATATTCAAACCACATAACATTTGGAATGAGTGTTGTGTCTCGTAACATCAGGAACTCGCTAATGGGCCTAAAGTATAAACAGAATGTATCTTTACTAGTCATTCTAACAACACTGCAGTCAAATCTCAATATTTCATTAAAAAAATTTTCATTTATTTTATATGCTGTTCATAAATATTACAGTCAAAAGTCGTTAATCTGGACTCGTCGGGACTTCAGCGATTCCGGATTATCGATTTTTCCGGATTACAGATCATCAGTTTAAATCTCGTAAGATGGCATGCAGAAATTATAAAATTAAAAATATGAAACCTTAATTTATGAAATAAAGAGCAAGTATGATCTAAAGGGTATCAAAATTTAAAAAAAAAAGCTTAATATTTATTTGTTTACTTTATTAAACATTTCTTTCAATGTAAGTTGTTTTAAGTTGCTTCTTCGTTTTATGTGATAATACTTTTCTCTTTAATTCTATAAACAGACATAATTTCTTGTTCAGTTACAAGTTCCGCTGTTCAAGTCCCGTTAATTGCTTGTGCCGAGAATACCGACTAACTTGTCAATTGAAATTTTTTCGTTTTCACTAACCTCTCTGTCACATTCTTCATGTCTTTATCCATTTTTTGCAGCAATTCCACTTTTTGTTTGATTGGACATCGAAACATACTTTTCGTTTTGTACGATCCTTTGGGAGCTCCAGAAACGGAAATTCTATTTGACATAATCGAAAGTTCAAGTTTACTTTTATAAAATTGCTTTTACAGTCTGCAAAAAATAATAAACCGGATCCAATTCGAAGATTAAGGAACAAGACGATCATCAACATTAACTGAAATAGATAATTTTAGATTATACCGTCCGTTATACATAAAACGCGCACGCGAAAACGTATTCTGTGCTTGCGCAAACACATATGCGCAGTGGTAAAAGGTCTTACGCGCACGTGTAAACGCCTATGCACATGTGTCAACGCGGCGCATGCGCAGAAAGTTTTTAGCTTTGAGGTCCTGATTATGGGTGTCCGAATTAACGACTTTTGACTGTATATTCTAAATTTCTAAAACAATTTAAAATTTTAACAGTTGATATATATCTAATACAGTTTCAAAGATTAATAAGTCCAAAATTTTTATTCTGTATAGAAGACCTAAAATCCAGCTTGGCCAAATTGGTGATTGAAAAAAATACTAAAGTAATAATAAATAGAAAGTAAGAATGAGTAAAATACCATCATAGGCTATGAAGTGTTGGAAGTAATATTGATTGTATCAACTGACAATGAAACATTCCTTATTATATATATCATCTTTACTGTTATGCTCCTGTTTATATATAAAGTAAACAACACGGCATAATGGATATGCCCTTAGCAACAATGACTTATTTCAGAAACATCAGCATAACCTTTTACATACTTTGAGCATCATCCTTGAGGGGCATGTAATCCAAAATGAAATTTATTGAATTAATGAAACTTAAATTGTTTGAATTGCCCCCACTCCTAATGAATTTTAACATTTTATTTAATTTGAATTGAGTTAACCAGCAGTGGACAATTGCAGAACTTTGTATGAAGAACCAACCAATGTTTAATCAGTTACTTATTTGCACATTATTTGTTTTATTGTTAATATAGGGTATATTACTAAATTTAGCCACACGATAGCATGGTACATTAACCACTTCATTTTCCCCAAGACAGACTTGTCCATTTGGAAAGTGTCATCAGCAGCTTTGAAAGATTTTAATTATTTAAATAATCTCAAAAGACCAATGACCATCTTAAATACCCAAATAATTGTCTAAAAGGTGTGTATATATATATATGTATGTGATATTTTGGCAGTCGAGCACATGAGTGACGAAGCTTGCCATCAGAGCACGGCCATTGTTTGTCTAAGTGGAGTACAGCAGAAATGATGAAACAGAAGGATTTCACTCTCAATTTTCACCACATTTTTACTTTAGATGAAATTCTCCAAATTACATAAGCAATCTGATATAAAATGGCACAACTTCGTTATTTATAGAAGCAGTTACATAACAGGCTCGAATGTTCTTGAAAATACTGGTCTAAGGGGAAGATCCTGAAATTGCAGAAAGTTAATTGGAGGTTGCTTGTTCGCGTAGCAAAGCCATCGTATTTTTTACGTTACATCTTCCCACCCACCCCCCTCAAAATAAGAGGCCGGATGAACAAAGCATTAGTAGATTAGTGAGGCAAGAAGTATGAGGAAAGATATGAAGAAACATCCAGGACATAGCTTACAGGCTTTAACTATGTCCTATCATAAATCATGATCTTTCTCATATGAAGTTTTTGAATTATACAATTTTACAATGGTTTATAAATAAACATATAACTAAATTTAGAACTATAAGACAATAATATATGGAAGAAGAAGAATAAATAAATTAATAAAGCATAAAAGTCCTCAAAATGTGCATTGAAAAGTGAAATTTTTGTTTTAAAGTCCTTTTCATAAAAATAGTGGAATGAAAATATTGGTTGAAGTCTCTTGATGCTAATAAGGGAAAAATCAAGTCTATATTTATTGCCCAATCAATAAGAAATATGATTTATTGCCCAAGTCAATAATAATCATATTTCCACCTGAACATGGGCAACTTAAAGCTTGAATATGTTTACAATTTATTTCATATTTTGTACGAATTTAACGAATTTTTATTTAACAAACACTGCGACTGGAAAGCAAGTGGCAACTGTTCGAAATAAAGATTTTTTATCTCCAGTGGGCCAGACTATTCCATTTGGCAATTTTATCTTTCAGTTTTCATCTACAAATTTGGCTATTGAAAGCAATGCCTTGCAACCGTCTCTAATAGAATACTTATTATCTCCATGCACTAGCATGTGTCCACTCAATGACGCATAAAGTATTAGGTTGTCCGGAAAATAATGCAGGTTTTTAACCTATATCTTTAATCATATTAAGTATCATTACTCAAAAAAAAATTTATTAATCAAAATAAGCACCAGCCAAATCAATGCATTTTTGCCAGCAAGATATAAGTTTATTTAGGCCGGTAGAATAAAATTCTGGAGTTCCAAATGCGATAAAGGTATCAAATGCGTGTCTGACCTCATCTTGGCTTCTGAAGCATTTCTTCTGCAGAATGTTATCCAGATGTTTGAAAAAGTGGTAATCGGTCAGCAAGTAAGTCAGGTGAATATGAGGGAAGAGGAAGAGTCTCATATCCCAATTCATTCAATTTCTGTACGGTCAGTAACACGACGTGTGGCCGAGCATAGTCATGGAGAATAATTGCCTGCTTTCTATTGACCAATGCCGAGCACATGCATTGCAATTTTTGGTGCAGTTCGTTGATTTGCTGACAATACTTATCTACTGTAATCATTTCACTCAGATTTAGGAAGCTGTGGTGGATGAGACCGGCCGCAGAGCACCAAAAAGTCACCATAATTTTCTTTTAGTGCAAATTTGGCTTTGGAAAGTGTTTTGGTGTCTGACTGCGGTCCAAACACTGAGCCGAATGTTGCCAGTTGTTGGAGAGAATCCACTTTTCATTGCACATAACAATTTGATCAAGAAAAGGATCATTTTTGTTGCAGAGAAGATGAGAAGACAACACTTCAAAACCGATTTTTTTTATTTTCGCTCAATTCGTGAAGCACCCACTTATTGAGCTTCTTTGACTTTCCTATACGATTCAAGTGATCAGAAATCATTGTTTTGCTTACGCCAAGCTCCTCTGCAAGCTCTTGAACAGTTGTGCACGGGTTTGTTTCAACTTAGGTCTTCAAATCATCGTCATGAACAGCTGCAGAGTGACCACAACGCTCTTGATCTTCCAGGTCAAATTCTCCACGATGAAACTTTTGGTACCATCATTGAAATGTAGATTCATTAACACTTTTCTCGCCCCATACTTCATTGACATTTCGAGCCGTTTGTGCTGCACTGTGGCCTAGCTTGTACTCATAAAAGCAAATTTGCAGAAAATCCCATTTTGACATCTAAACAAAAACACCTAGTAAATATTTTTTAATAATTTTGGAATAAAATGATTATTATAGAAATATAGAACGAAAATAGAGCTTCAAAATGATATATAAACCAATGTAATTCAAAATATTTTTTGTATCTAAAAAAGTACAGGAAAGATAAACAATTGCAAAAACCTGTATTATTTTCCGGACAACCCAATATTTAACTCAAATTTATTATTTCTGTGACTGAGTAGCAAACCAAGAAACTTAAATTCTTAATAACCGCAGTTCTTAAGAATACTTTTTCTACTTTTTGATTGAATTTAAATTATGAGATGTCCAATTAAAAATATTGAATATTTTTATGAAATGATACTAACTGGACTCATTAAAATTACTATATACTTTTTCTTTTTTATGATACCTTTTTTACATGGCTCGTTTTTAAAGCAATTATGAATATAAAAATATATACAGCAACCAATACTGTATTGGGAATTCTAAATATATGCTGTTTTTAAATATTTTGTGATTTTGCTCTTCAATGTTATGTGGCATAAGGGTTGAAGAGAGTAATGCTTAATAATAAAACTAAAATGGCCAAAAAATTTATTAGCAGGAGTGAGCCTAAGAACAGAAAACATTAACAAAGACTCTAGAGTGACATTAAAATATGAATCCTTTCTTTCTTCTTAATATGAATTTGTATTTATTTATTGTGGCTGAAACTGAATCCTTTTAGCATATACATACTTGCCAACCTATGACACTCAAAAATCAGGAGATTTTTTTTAAGAAATCAGGAGATTTTTCACAAAATGATAAAAATATAGTTTTTAATAATGAATTAACTTTAAATAGTTACTAATTCTAAAATGCAAAAATACCTTACACATAAAAAACATTTTTATTACTTGCATCATTAAAAAAACAAAAAAAAAGACACTTTAATCAGTTTTCGTACAAATCTTATGAACAGTGACAGATTTTGCTTTCATATTCAGAATGTTATGAACAGTGGCAGATTCGTGCTTAGCTAAACTTACAATAATCGGAAAATTTTTCGTGTGTTGAGCAATTTTTTTTTTTTTATT